AATCAGAAAAGAAAATTGTTTATAAACAAATTTATTAATCATGACCAGAATTGAAAAAATATTGAATTGAAGAGCCAATTTATTTAAAATTTAGGAGTTTGAGCGGTTTAGTAAATAGAACAATTGAATCATTAAACTGTTAAATTTTATCAAACATTATCAAAAAATATGAAGAACTTTTAGAAGTACAATTTATAAATTATGAAAATAATTATTGAGTCAAACAAATAATTATAATACTATAAAAATACTTATAAATATATTATGCTCTGCTATATCTGCTCTATACTAATATTATTATTGTAATACTTACGTTCGAGCGATAGAATTTGTTCTTGTCAATTACTAAAATGAAATTCAAATTAACTGACTTATTTAAAAAAATGTTTGACTGCCCGTGAGTTGGCATACAATTTTATTTTTGATAATAATATTACTTATTATTTTTTTTAAATCATATTTAAATACATACCTAATATTTACCCACTTGTTTTTATTTTACCAGTTGCGACGAAGAACAAATTTACATTGTATAATGCTACGTGCAATAGAATTTATAGAATGAAAACATATAAACATGACAGTATGACACCTAATATTGTTAGATTTTAACTATAAAAATTAAAATGTATTAATTATCATTAAAGTTGCCATTTATTAAGATTATTATTATTATTTTTTGTTAACAATATTATATAAATTAATACATAAAATATAAGTGACAAAAACTGATATTATTGTTACACTTATTTATAGACCATTATATCAAAAAATAATACGAGGTGAAGGAATGCCATCCTACAGAGAAAATTGTGATAAGAGAGGTGACATTATACTGCAATTTAAAATTCAGATTCCACGTGATCTCTCAGTAATAAAAAAAATGATTTGCAAGACCACATCAAAAACAGAAGATTTTAGAAGTTTAAGAAAATGAATAATAATTATCTATGAAACAAATATAGTATAATATATTATATTTATTTGATATTTCGGATTTTTCTCTATATTTTTGATTAAAAATAAACTCCAGCTCATTTTTATTTTAAATAAAATAATAAAATATAATTTTAATTGATTTATGCAATAATTTTTCATACTAAATCCACAAAAAAATCAAACTCTCACTATTTTTTTTTCCGTTATAATAAACAAAGTAACTAACTAGTGTTGATATTACGTATCTTATTTCACAATTTTATTAATTCCTTAAAAATTTACTATATTATCTTAAATATAAAATAAAATTATTGAATATAAATGTATCTAATAATAATAATAATAATAAAATAAAGACTATTTAATATTTAAGTGATATACACTAATATAAGTTTTAGTTAAAAGTTCATAAATTATCTGGGTCACGTTAATTTTAGCTCTTTTCCAATTAATATAAAAAAAAATTATTAATGGTAATATTAACAACAAAAATTGTATCAATGATGTTTTATTTAATGAGATAAGTCAATGTTCATAATTTAATTATATTTATTATTTATCATGTTATTTAATTTAATTTAATCATATAATATAAATATAACTCTCTACACTCTACACCATCACAAAGTACTCTTAAAAGAACCAATTTTTTTTTTTTATTATTTCCTTTAGTATTATATTATATTAATCTAATAATAAAAAGAAAATGTGTATATATTCAAGCATAAAATTTAGGTATATTATTATTAACGTTAAATGAGTTTCTTTAGTTGGAAGAATAAAAATTATTGGTGTTTCAGTTTAGTATTTTATTAGTTTTGAAAATTTAGATTCTAGTGTTGTGGATAAGTTTAAAATTTAGTAAAAAAATGTTGAATTATTATAATACTCGCTCTATACATGATGCATTTAGTTGTGTTATTGTAACTGAAGAATGATTAACGTTGATATATTGACGATCTAATCAAATATACATCATAATCATTTGTCTATACTATAGTTAAAAATACTTGTTTTTTATTCCATGAAAGAATAGGGGGTGGTTAGCTGTCTATATCCAGAACATAGCATTTCAGTCATACTTAATATAGTATATAGGTATACCTAATTATATTTTCAATATAATAATAAATTTAAAAATGCAATAAGTTTTGAAAACCATGTGGTTTAATATAAAACCTATTATTTAAATCAACTTTTACTCTTATATTTTGTTTTTTAGTTATTATGGAGTCTAATAAAATTGAAAAATACAGAAAGTCGATTTTAAGTAGTTTTATAATCAAGTTTTAGAGATATTTGTTGATACGTTGGAAATAAAATATTACTAAATGTCTACGAGTTACGCGTTATTGATAGAAACTAAAGACGATAGCGGTAATAACCATTACTAAGCGTTACTTTAACTTTATCGAATACTATTAATAATTTAAACTAATAGTTTAATCGTTTAATCTTTAATATATATTGCATATTATAAAATGTTATTGTTTCTTAAATAATTGGAACAGGACTATGATGTCCTATTTAGTGTCTAATCAAAATTTTAATTCCCAAAATAGAAGATTCAAAATTAATTCTATTGTAAATTATTATTGTTGCTCAATTATTTTTCATGAAAGCTTTATGTCATATAAAGTAAATATATATATATATGTAAAATTATTAATGAAATAAATACTCATTATAATATAATGAATTATACATTAGTTAAAAATTAAAATATTATAATTACTTATTTATTTACCTACATAGGTACTTTCAAGAAAACACTTCATTAAAATGTATCATAATATTTTTATTTACCTATGGGTTATGAGCAATAGGTACAATAATAAATAATATTTTACTTTAAATATTTATATTAATAAAAATGAATTACTTCATAATAATAATGTATTGTATAATGTTAATATACTTAGATACAGATTTAGGTATTTATTATGCATGATATTTGAAGTAAAATATTATTGTTAATTGTTAATTTATTATTTTTATTATTATTATTATTGTTGTTGTTGTTGTTGTCATAATAACATCATCTTTTTTGGTTTTATTTGGTAAAAAGATAAATAACTCTGTTGATTTTTATTTTATTCCCACATAAATAATTTATATTTTCTGGTATAATAATATGATATAATCAATGTGGGTAAAATTTTCATTGATACAAAATACGTGAGCTTATGATAATTATTATTAATTATAAACCGACAGATAGGTATCTATTATTTCAAATGTTCATGTTAAAATATTTTTATGCATAGTATTCTATCATAAAAAAATTTTTAGCATCTAATTAATCGTTTTTATTTTTTTTTATTTTTTGTTTTTTTTAGGAAATAAAAACGAGTAATTAAAAAGTTAAATATTGAATGCGAGTAAATATTTAGTGAAATTTAGGGGTTTTTTTTTGTGATAAAAATAAATCAATACAAATTTGTTATTTACTTATATACAAAACTAACATTGACATATTCTTTTATTCAGCATTGAGTCATGAATTCATAAATAGGTGCTGATTAATGCTAGTATTACCACTAACAAATAACTTTTACTAATTAAATTATAGTTATCATATCTTATAACTTTAGACATGATAGTATATGTTTACATTATAACAATTAGAATAATGAATAATAATTTATATCTTCAAACTGTAATACTGTACACTCACATAAAATAATTAAAAATAGTTAGGAAATAAAAATAAGAGCAATACTTTAGAAGTATTTTTATAAATACAGTACCTATTTATCTACGTATATTAAATTTAAAAAGAAAGTAAGTAGAAACTCTGAAAAAAAAATACATTAAGTATAATCAACATTTTAGAGAAGTTTAATATTTCAAAACCCAATACTACATAAAAAAAATTATTCCAGAGTAACCAACTATAAAGAACCAGGTGCATATTTTTGAAAGTTTTAGGCTGGTAGCTTCTCCGGTAATGCCTGAGGAAATTATTATAATATATATATATATATATATATTTATATTTTGGTATAACGCCAATATAACTACAATAATTTTTTTCTACTATTTCTACATTGAATTATATTGGTAAACAAGCATTTCCTAGAAAAAATGAACCAAAAGCAAAATTTTGTCAGATATGTACCTACATGTTTTGATAGTTCATAATCATAATAGAGGTGAGTATATCTACTGTTAATTGTGACTAGGTACCTGATAATCAAAAGCGTACTAATAACCATCAAATTTCTAATTAACACATAATATCCTTACATACCTACTCGTAATACGGTTTGACTGGTTTGATTACATAACATTTTCAACTAAAAGCATGACCAATATTTTGCTAATGTATGATTGTAATATTTGAATCAAGTGCTAATATTATATTACCTAGTACCAACTTTTATTTTTACAAATAATACAATTTTAATAGATTAATATTATTTACTATAATTGTAATACATTAACATAAAACTCATATTATTTTCCAAACCCACTACCTAGACCTATGGTTATTCTTAATACCTACATAAGATTAAATTACTAAAAATTACTCATTTCATGTTTAAATTTTTATTTTGATACGCTGAATTTTTTAAGAAAATTAATAGCTTAACAAATTATAGCAAAATAGAAAGATTCTCATTTGAATAAAAATAGTTTTATCACTACAGGATACTTTTTAAATGTTATAAAAAATCTGAGTATTTGAAAATATGGTCCCTATTTCTTCAGACTTCAGTATTTCATTTACCTAAATCGGCTAAATCTAAAAATGTCGGTAAGCGGATACCACTGTGCTGTATATTAGGTCGTGTCGAATAGGTCACTGTAATAGGTATGTATCTTACCTAATACCTACTATTTGAATTACATTAAAAATTAACTTACATTAATCTATGAATAAACAATTAAAATAATATACATTAAAAAAGTATACATGACCTCTTACTATTATATAGATTATAAATGTTCTGCTAAGAATTTTTAGTTTTATATTTTTTTTACCCAATTTCATTTACCGGTAAACATAATTAAGTTATATTATTAATTATTTAATAATTTATTAATTTAGGGCTTACCTATTAACTATTGTGTTATTGAGAATTTTGTAAGCTGTGAGCCTGTGAAGCTGTAAGTACGTATTTACCATCGTATTACTTCTGACGACTGACTAACATTATTAACAAAACATTTTATTAATAAAGAATTGTTTGAAATGATCGTTATTATTCTTGTTTGTTTTCGTTAAAGGTGCATAGTGAAACGTGTTCATATACCTATAATACATGGATATTGTTTAAACTTATAATACTAATAAATAACTTAGGTACATAACCCTAATTTTCTCTTTTATATAATTATTATATTGTCTTTCTATTGTATTTTTATAATTATGGAAAAATTTGATGAATACAATAAAAGCGATAACATAATAATAGTCTTTAATGCGAGTTATGCGCATTAATGCATTTATATATAGGTACAGTAGAACCTCGATTATCTGAATTAATTAGGACCGCACCTAATTCGAATACGCAAAAGTTTGGATGTTAGAAATTTAAAAAAAAACCCCCAATTAATAAATTTTTAAAACGCAGTTAAATATTTTATATAATTATATTACATATTTATTGTTATTATTATTAATATTTTATTACATAAATTACATTATTAGAAATACATTACAAACATGGGAACATATTATTATGTTAATTATAATTTTTGACAAACAAAATTATCAATACAAATGCATCAATGAGTTTTAAAATTCGGATAACAGAACGTTCGGATACGCTAATTGTAGTTCAGATAATAGAGGGTTCGTATAACGGAGGTTCGGATAATCGAGGTTCTACTGTATTATTATTATTATATTATTTATTAGAAAAAATAACGATATGTAATTTATTAGATAGTACAATAAACTGAAAAAATATTATTAATTTTGTTTAATTAGACATGTGGACACTCGTAAGTACTTAAAAAAAAAAAATGTCATTATAGGTACCTATTCTGCAAGTCTATAATAAGCAAGTATGATTAAAAACTATATCAAACACAAAGGTAATTAAAAAAAGGTTTAATAAATTAAACGTTATGGATTAATATAATTGTTTAAAATATATGTACATATAGCCAAGTGATTCAACAATAATGCTCTTGGCTCACCTCTTATTTTCATTGATATATTAAAACATTTTTATAATTTAATATACTAATACCTATAGATATTAATAAAATAATTAATAGGGACTATATTTTTGAATATATACTTGGATTTAATAAACTATAAGAAGTGTTCACTGTAATGGTACAAAGTTAATTTGTTCAAAATTTCGATGTATCTAAATCAAATTTAAAATAAGTATAATAGTTATTCGAGTAATTTAAATTCGTGTTTACTAAAAAAACTAGGTAATAGGTTCATTAATAAAATAATATATTTAGGAGATATAGCAGCTATATATCTTGAAAATTTTAGTAAATAATAATAATCTATCAACATTGTATAATTAGTAAACATTTTTAAAATATAATAAAAAATAATTACCTACTCAAAAACAAATGGTTGAAATTAGAAAAAAAAATTCTATATAACAATTAACGATTTTTATTTGAAAAAAATGAAGTTATAATATCGTTTAAGACACTCTTTAAATGGTTTATAAAATTTAATTATTTAAAAATTTGACCCTTAAGTACTTAAAAAATTTCATTATTAAAATAATAAAGTATGGAGTGGTGATTTATTCTGTATACCTACTTACCGTATTTAGCGTGTTTTCCGTTTGGTTATTACCACCTATTGTCGTCTATGTACTTTTACGGACTAATATTATTTTACAAAATTTACTTAGAAAATACATTTTAATTTAAGTAATTAAAGTAGGTCAAACCGATATAGTATAACGTGCTGGGATGGCAAAAAATGTATTACTTAAGACCACCGCACGCGCAGACACTAAAAATCAAGTCATTGTCGTATGTATGGCTGATGGAGGTTTCGATAGTATACATATTACATAGGTATGTGTTATAAAAATTGTCTGTAATATATTAACTTATAGGTATAATCGTATAATATATTTTGTGTTTATTTCATAATAAAAGTGTTTCCGAGAACAAGCCACTAAGTACCTATATTTTGCGTTAAGTTGTTCTTACCTTTAAAAGTCCTTACAGCGTCGGGATGTAGGTACATATCATGTAGATTGTAGACTATTATAGTCATAAGTTCTAAAATAACGTCGTTAATAATAAATGTATATCATTGTATCTAATAAAATGACAGTGCCAGCTGAATAATTAGTTTTTGGATATGGACGATATGGTCATTAGTCATTACCTAAAGACGTTTCTAGTTTTAGCGTTATTATGTGCGAAGTCCGCAGAGAAAATTGAAAGAAGTCAGCGTTTTCCCGAAACAATGAAACTGTCAACTGATAACAACTCTCTACGACAGACATTTCTTAAGCAGTGTGAAGTAGAGAACGGTCATCCGCAGCGAATAAACCATAATATGAATATGGACCACGGTCGAAGCGATGCACCTTACACTTTATAGGTACCTACTACCTACCACGCGTCAATGCGATTAGGTAATTCATTCGCAAGTGGGTAATCTCGATATTTCTTATTGGTCACTGAAATGGAAAACTAGTGGAGTGTTTATGTTTAAATTTTCTGTAACAAATAATATTTAGAATTCCGTAGATACTGGTATAAAACTACTCCGCTTGTCTACTTAATTAAATCTAATTATCTACTACTTTATAATAGGTAGGTAATCAAAAACTCATACCTAACAAAGAATAATAAAAGTCTCTGTTCAATTTTTTTCATACCGTTTTGGTGAACGACTTTCTAGTATATTGCAGTGTAGGTATTTAAAGAACTTTTTTTTATTAGTAGGTATCTACTTATCTTGTTACTGTGCATCGATCTGATCATTAACAACGAACAATTAGGCGTGTACCGTGTCCTATAGTGATCATAAATCTACTCTAATAATTATACATGTTTATTTTACTTAGTTAAATAATTATTTGTGTCTTTAGTTTATTATATTATAACATGTAAAATACTTATTTTTTTATTGATTACATCTAATATTTATGATGACGGTGGGGAAGGGATGTGCATAGTAAAGTTAGTTTAAGGAGTACTCTGGTCTCTCATATGTGTCACTTAGCTTTATCTAAAATGCAACGCCACTTATTGTTATATAAACTAAATCTATTCTTAAAAAATGACCGAGCAATAAAATTTATTTTCGGTACCTACAAAGAACTATTAAGACCTGTGCATCAAAAGGCACAGATAGCAAAACCAATAGAAATTATAAACTGGTATAATATTATACAATAATTATTATTTTCATTCTCAGTTTTCTTCTAAAATATAAGAATGTTAGCTTTAAAAAAATACAATTAAATTAAATATTTTTATTAGTAGGCACTAAATTATTTGTGTATAATATAAAACAATAAAATTATTAATACATTTTACAATAAATAAAATATAAATGACCATGTCATATAGTTTTAAACTGGCCAAAGAATGAGGACCTTTAACTTCAGTTCTCCTCTTGATTTAAACTTACTGGTAGGCACAATTTAAATGACACTAGTATTCAAACACTCTTGGTTCCAAATTTAATAAAATTAAACATATTTTCATCATTTTTTTTTTTCATCCCATCAATTGCTTAATTTTCTATAATTATACATAACTATATTGTAAAATATTGTAAGCATAATTATAGCTTAAATTTTAAATAGTATAATATATCAACAAATAGTAAACAACTTCGGTATATTGTTTTTTGTAGTCTGTAGATAAATGAAGTATTAAAATAATTAATTTATTATAATATGTTTAATTAATCAGAATATGGGTACACCCAAATAAATATAATAAGCACACAAACAGAATATTATGCATGAATTTATTTTGTATATTTAAAATGTTAAAAACTTTTATTTAAAACACTATAAAATATATTAAACAAAATGTAATTTAACATTTTAATTTCTTTAAATTTATTGAAATGTTTACTGTTCAATAGCAAATAAAAATATTTATTGAGTTCTTTAGACTGTAAAAAACATATTTAAAATGATTAAATTATTTCTTTCATAAACTTATTAACCCATCAATTGAGGAGGTGGAGGTATCATATTATTCATCATTTGAGGTGGTCCAGGATTATACATAGGCGGAGGAGGGAACATATGAGACATCATATTAGAACCAGGTTGATGCATCATATTGTGTTGTGGTGGGGGTGGAAGAGATGGTGGAGGAGGTTTCATTGGAGGTGGAGGTTTCATTTGTTCAACTTTATATGCAAATTGTAAATAAAATTGTTTTGCTTGAGTATTCCAATGAGCCCAAAATTTCATTTCAGATTTATCCACTTCACGACTTGGTACTTTAAAAGAAATTGTTTCGTAAGGTTCTGCAGCAAACAATAAATACTGCCATTTTCTGTCTGGTGGCTCAATTCTTTGTTCATATGCTGACATGAAACGATGACGTGGACGTACATTATCAGTAATTTCTAAACACACATAAGAAAATAAAAGTTAAAAAAAATCACGTATTCAAATTAAAAACATATATAATTACAAACCAGGATAATCAATTTGAAAAAGTAAACTCTGTTGGCCTGTTTCTGGATCTTTTTGTTTTGTAACTCGATATCCAGGTCGTCCAATTTTAACAAACTTTTTAGTTTCTACTCGTGGTTTTTCAGGAGCTGGCTGTTGTGGAGCATCTTTAGCTTCCTTAGCTGCTCGACGTGCTAAATTGGCTTGATGTTTTTTACCTTGAGTGTGGGCTAAATAACTTCCCTCGTTATTATGTAAAGTAAGACAAAGTTTACATTCGTAGGACCCTAAAAACACGGATACATAATTAAATATTAATTTTTCTTGTTACTTTAGTGTAATTATAATAATTACCTAAATGATTTTTCATAAAATAAGGATCTTTTTGAAGATCAATAGTTTCCAAAGCCAATTGTCTGAGACGTTCACGTCTATCCTTATTAGTTTCAGTCCATGATGCAACACCACCACCACCAGTCTTACCGCCAGGACGATTTTGGTAATCCATTTTTGTAATTTAATTACAAAATTTCTGCATAAAAATAATATAATTTTAATATGTACATAAACATATACTATATTATAAATAATGACATTATGTTATCGTCATGTATATTTAGGTTAATAAGTACTTAAATTATTCTTATTACTTTGTTGATGAATTGTATATAGAATAATTAAGTACTATGATTTTTAATATCAAAAATTAAAACTGCATAAATATACCATGTACCTAATTAACATATAAACCAGAATTTTTAAATTCAAATTTAGAACTTAAAAAGAACAGTTCATACATCCAACATGAAATTCTAAGTTTACATTAATAAATTATAAAATATATTTAACTTTTAAAAATTTCTTAGAACAAAATAAATGAAAAATATAATCATTGTAAGGTAACCTGAAGGCTAGAGCAGATAATATATTTTTGGTTTATACATTTATATCACTGAGAATGGTGAATTAATACCCAAAATACCCTCTGTCCATAGCTATGCATCTATACCTAATAATAAATTCAAATGTAAAAATATTTTTAATTTTTCTAAGATACAAAAATCAAAAATATGATAATTTATAGCAAGTGCTTAGTAAGTGGTATATATATATTTGTTACCCTAACTTTTAAATATTGATAAAATAATAACACTTGTAAATGGTATCATTAATTTTTAAAATTTGATTTACACAGTAAAACAAGAATAATCATAATTTATTGAGTCTTATATTTTAAATATAATTTATATTATCTACCTAATATTAAAAATTGAAATTGCGATATTTCAATATGGTAATTTAAATTTATTTATAGCCAATTCTTAGGGTTATAAAATAAATCTCTCTTTTATATTGTTATGTTCAGAGAGTGATAGCTATACAAAATTGTTGTGTTGGTTTTATGTTGATATATATTATTCAGTATACCTTGTAATGTTCTTCCTTGTTTAAATACAATTTTTCATCAATAGGAGTGTGTTGAGGTTTAATGGGCATTAAATACTTTTATAATTATAGCTTATATTACACTATTAAGGGTGATTATATTAATTATTGACTATTGTAATACAAAAATACGTGTTCATAACAAATTAAAGCAAAAGAGCACCTAGAAGTCAAATTTGTAAGTCAAGTTAATGGTCTGCAACTTGTTAATTTAAGTTTTGACTGTATGTGTTACTACTGCAAAACAATGACATAACACTTACCAGGAGAATTCACAAAACCGATGGTATCGTTCTATGGTGTGATTATCATAAAGACATAAAACCTGCATGAAAAACAAAACAAATAATTAAGCTATAAGTTCAAATTATATTAAATAAACAAAGAAAAAATTCCAAATTCTATACCTGGAAGTCAATAGTTATTAGTTAATCATAATGATTAATATAATAACATTTATCACTCAACGGTTCAGATCTAAGACTCAAGAGTCTTGATACTCTTGATTTAAGAGCTATGACGTTTGTCGTTTAGGACGTTTAGGACGTTTAGGTAGCTTGGCAAACCAGTGAACCACGATCACTTTATTTTAACCGTATACATTGTATACAACATACGCGAGTGATAATAATACAGGATAAAACAGTATTTAATCAAATACATGAATACCAAAACAACATCGCATTTGAAATGAATATAACCCATTGGAAACTGAACAACGCGTATGAAAGACCATTAAGGCACCAAGTTCGTGAATGTAGATCCGATCACGATAAAAAAACTTAATTATATAGAGTACATCACCTATGTAATTGTAAATGGATCTATAAGTATCTATATAATAATGATTTTCAGTGGTATAAGGACCCAACGTGATGTTGTATTAAGTGATACATAATTTTTTGTTCATTTATAAACAACACTGGTACCTAACCCAAACACGTTGTCATACCAATTTTATTGTACCGGAACACCATCCTTATTGATAATTATTATTTACTTACAAAACTACAGAACCGTGGATTATCATTCTGATTTCTTGAATCTGAATTTCCTAAGCCCACCCGCGAACCGCAGTCCGCACTAGTAGTTTAATATTCATCGTTTTTTTATCGCATAACGTTTGACGGTTAAGAGTGAATCCGTAATTCGTATTTACCAACTGTCACTATTTGTCACTTAAAGACGCTTTTATTTTTGCTTTTGCCGCTTCATCTGTTCATTCAACCGCTGATAGGAATCTCTTGCATACAAAAAAATGGAGGCCGAAGACAACATTCAGAAAATGTATAAATACTTTGGTATACTTGCCGACGCTAAGGAAAACATTGCCGAGGTAAGTTTAATGCAATCCTATTTATTTATCTTATTTGCATCAAATATCCTAGAGATAAATTATTTGATGCTGAATGACAAAGACTAATGTATTTATTTTTTTCATTTAAATCTTGACCCAGTTGAAAACAATATGAGTAATTTTGATAACTTAACATAAATTTTTTTTTCGGCTTAAAAATATATTTGGCTTTCAAACTATTAGTCTAAAGTTTGTTAGGTATTCTATCTAATATGATTATGTTTATAAATTAGTGCAATAGATATCAAAGTAAAATTGTTTGTTAATAAATTATTTTAAAGTATGAATATAGTTAGGAATAGATACCTAACTAATACTTTAATAAAATATGATTAAAATAATTACTCCAATTAAGGCTCTATACTGCACTTACGTTTTTATTTTATTCTATTCTAAAACATAATGTGATATACATGTATGTTATCCTTATATAGTATATAGTACCTATGTTTAGCTAAGAGTTCTTAAGTTTTACTGCTTTTTTTTTTTTAAATTACTAATACTATTAATTACAAATTAAATCTACATTCCTTGTTTTTTTTAATGTTTTTAGTGATCACATTATAATAATAATATTAAATTGATAATTACTAGAAGTTTATACTTAATAGATCAAGAAATAAGTAATTACAGTAATCATAATATGTAATATATGCGCAGTTTGTTTTTAAAATATTTTAATCATCATAATATAATTTTATAATTGGAATACTTCTGCTTCTTGGAAAAATTCAACTTTTAAACTATTGTTGACAACTATTATTACCTATAGATAGTAATATTCCTTTCTCTATTTAATAAAGGTACAATAAATTGACAATAAGTACTTTAAAGTGAGCTATAAAAGTATAAAATTTAAAAGACAAAAGGTGCCCTTTAAAACTTAAGGACTCGTGTGCTGTGCACATTTTACATACTTGATAGTTACATCACTATAAGAAAATAAAATTAAGACTAAGTACTTATAACCGTTTCATATTTTGATTGGTTTACCTAGATCTTGATAGCTCACTAGCATTAATCCTGACCTGGTACTAAGATTGAATGTATCACCTTTCATTCATATTGTTTCTTACATTTCTTAATACGTTCAATGCCGATGACAACACGCCGTTGTCACAGTTGGCAGTGCGCTCATCACCGATGATAACACGATATTGTCATTCGAGTATTGTTTTAGAACAGTCATTTTCTCATCGGCTTGGTGCATACATACATTACTTTTCATGGTCTTATTAGTGTACACTTAAGCTACATTTTAGTTTACTTGAATTTAAAATTGTGTGTTTTTTTGTCATAATTTTAAATAAATCGAAAAAGGTAAATTTCTGTACGGCTATTGCAAACAAAACAATAATAAGGCACCAGCATTGAACGTGTTAAATAATTAAAACATATTCTATGGATGTTTTCTGATAAGTAATTTATATTCACTTTAAAGAATAAAGAATTCAATGATCTATAAATAGATTGTTGTAAAAAAAAAAAAAAAAAAATGGTATTTGATTACATTACCACCTAACTACAATATTTATATTGTGAATAAACTATTAATTCCTTATAATATTTTATAGAAAGAACCTGAGTATTTGGAAATATTATCGGCAGTTAAAGGATCAACTAAAGAAAAAAGACTTGCATCTCAATTTATAACCAGATTCTTTAAATATTTTCCGAATCTTGCTGCTCAAGCATTAGAGGCTCAACTTGATCTTTGTGAAGATGAAGATATTTGTGTAAGTAAATAGGCCATTTGTGCATAAACACGTAATACTATATAATATTTAATCAATTAACAATATTTTATGTCTATGTAATATGTTGTGTATACTTAGATACGGAAACAAGCAATTAAAGATTTGCCAGTATTATGTAAAGAGTCTAAAGAATACCTGACTAAGATAGCAGATATATTAGCTCAATTACTTCAGGCTGATGACCCACAAGAATTACTTACAGCTCAGAATTCATTATTATCACTCTTTAAAATTGATGCTAAAGGTAAATATTTTAAAATAATAAAAACAATTTTAAATGACCTATGTGATTACTTATTTTTTAATCTATTAAGGAGCCTTAACTGGAATATTTAGTCAAATGCAATCAAATGAAGAAGTAGTAAGGGAACGCTCTATGAAGTTTATATTGAACAAAGTTATGGCATTGGGTAAAGAAATAATTAAAAAAGATGTAGAAGATTTAATAATTGCAGAGTGCAAAAAAGTTATGCAAAATATTACTTGTGAAGAATTTGAAACACTCATGACTATTTTATCATCGACTCATCTAATAAATACACCAGACGGTCAAAAAGAACTTGTTGAACTCTTGGCAAATACAGCTGAACTTGATCAGTTTTTTAATCCCAAAGATTTAGATCAAGTCAATCGATTCATAACTTGTCTGGATTTTGCTATTCCATTTTTTTCGGTAAATATTTGTTACCAAGTTGAAACGTTGATTAAATTAATGACTGTAATTTTAATTTTACTTCAGGCTCATGTAGAATCCACTAAGTTTATTGTGTATATATGTGAATTGTTGAATCGCTATACTCTTATAAAAGATAATGATAAGCAATTTATCATTTTAAAGTTATTAGCAGAATCTGTGCCATATTGTGGTAAATTAATGAATCCTGAAGCAGTAGTCGGACAAGTATATCAAGCTCTATTAGTAAGTATTTGAAATTGTTCAAAAAGTTTATGATGTTACTGTCAACAACGACATTATCAAATTAGTTTACAGTATAACATAAAATATTTATTATCTATAACATATCTCATTTTGATATTTTTATTAGAATTTGAAAATAATATATACAGTGATGTATTTATAATTTATAAAATATGCTTGAATTAGTTAACTAATATGTAAAAGTTGAAAATCTGTTTAAACTAGACCTTTTTGGCCCACTTGGTAATTTGGGCCAATTTATTTTAAGAGTTATTTATTGCCATTAATATATTCTCTGGCTGATGTAGTCTGCCACAAATATGTAGTCCATAAATTACCTTGACATTTAATCCAACTCCCACTTTCTTACCCCTCAATTTATTTTTTTTTAAATTTACCAATTTTATCTATTTCTTTTAATAATCTATAACTTGTTACTTATTGTTAAGATAAATCTCTTCATCATTGTATGCTGTTAACTAATTCAGACTTCTACTCCAACTTGTCTTAGTTATTGATTTATATCATACTATTAACTTATTCTATTACTTCATCAGGCGTCAACTTGTTGGTTTATAATTAGTGTTCATTACATTTGTTATTTTAATAAATATAAGAATATGGCTGATAGGATATGGATTTATTTTTTATGGTCTATTTTGAAATGTTTTACATTAAAAAGACTGGTATACATATGTGTTAGGACTTTGTTTTCTCAAAGAATTTAAGCAAGGTATTAAAGTATTTCTTCATAACTGACCTATATCATTTTGCAAAGAAAACCAAAATCTGTCCTTGGAAATTTGAAGTTTTTAAATATTTTGTTCAATAAGTGATTTTCATTTGGATACAATTTTTAAATAATAATTTTTAATTACCATATCCATATATTTTTAAATAAAAATATCAACCCAAAATCTATTAATAGAAAAAGTATAAACATGTTTAGTTTCTAAAAGGTTCATAAATATTGTGATTAATTATTAATTTTAACCTCAAATAATATGAGTATCTAATTTTAGGATTTAGTTACCGTTCCTGAGAATGATTCTAATAAAAAAGTTGAAGATATGGATTTACATCGTGTTGAAGCACTTTTGTATACTTTTCACAAACTTGGAAAACAATGTCCAGATTTTTTGAGCAAAGACCCTGAAAGACAGAAGGATTTTAAAAAAAAGTATAATAAATAAAAATAAATTTGACTAATAATTTATTTTAAATGTAATTTTCTTATTATTTTTAGGTTATTGTACGTAGGAACATGTACTCAAACATTTGTGAAAATTGTCAGGCAAGACTTAAAAGAAAAAGGAGAAGAAGATGTAAAAAATGATCCAATTGTTGAAAAAAAACTAGAAGGATTAAAATTAGCATGTAACATAAATACTTTAATTAAAGAGTTATTCAATATACCTCCTAGATTTAAAGCAACTATCAACTTATCCTGGCTTGGTGGTGCGACTAAGTCCAAACTTGTAAGAAGTATATGATTTGAGTTATGAAAGTTATGAATAACATAATAATTTTTATTGTAGGCCCAAATTATTCAGGAGGGTAAAAAACATGAAACTATTACAGTGGAAGGAAAATCTAAACGGATTGATGGCAGCAATAGTAGTCAACAAATATATCAACCTCCAAAGGATAAATTTAGTGCCAAATTTTCTAACAATACAACAAGTAACTATACCACTTTCATGACTTACTATATTAACTGTATTAAATCTTTGTAAAATTTCCATTTTAGATAATAATCGTCGTGGTGGTGGTACTGGTTGGAACACTAAAAGATCGTTTGACACCAGCAATGGCAATCGTCGTTCATGGCGACCATACTAATGTAAATTACAATTCAATCCAATTCAATTTTTTTTCACAAACGTGTTCTTTGTACTATTCATATAATAAGTAAATTACTGATTTAATTGTTAAATGTTAATAATTTTCATTTATTTTTAAGCAATAATGCTTATTATAATATGATTTAGTATTAATGAACTATGTATATATTCATTTTATTTCTGACCAATTATTTTGTAAATTCACTGAGCTTAGCTACTTTGTAACATGCTAGTTTAATATTTAATTACAGTTATTTGACAAATAAAATAAATTTTTACTTTGTTTGAAAGTATATTTTTGTCATAAAAAAAATTTGTATTTTACAATATAAAAAAAACAATAACAAAAACTTAAGACTATCAAAGAACTTTAAAAACAATTCAAGTTAGTATCAACATAAATTTTATAAATGACTACAGTTATTTTCATTTTTGCATTACTTTTTTTTTTTTTATATATATATATATAAAATGTATGACAAATTTTGTGTATAATAAAACAGTAACTATTTCTATTATTGAAACAGTTGATCTTCTGTAGCTGTTTTTTCTAACCTTCAACATATACAACTTTTTAATTTATTATTTATCTCTAGGCCATCATAACCATAATCATAATCTTTACAATTATCTTTAATATTTTACCTGTGTATAAATTATATATTAGTCATCTTCCAATATGCCAGTCAGCTGCTATTTAGATTACTAAACTGTAAATGAGTATTTATACCTTTTTATGTGTAGGTAATAGGTATAGTCTACTATAGCTGAAATATCCAAGTTATTAATTATTGTTATAAATTATTTATTATTTTATACCTCTATACACTATCTTCCTACCTCCTTTCATTAATGTTATAAAGTCAAAAACAGTATGAATAATAACAGTTCAGTTGATTTTAAATTTGTGGTACATAATATATTATAATGATTTACTCTGAATAGTTTAGTAGATTAAAATAAATTTTCCAAAACATCTATAGTAAAATAAATTGCTTATTCTTAACCTTATCCATACTTAAATAAATTATACAATTATATTTACTGACTATATAAATGTTTATTTTTTTACTCTATAAATTCATATTTTTATTTTGTGAAAAGTCATTTAACGTAACAAAATCTTTTATTTCAGACTAAAATATATTAAATTTTTATTAATATAACTGTAGACTGCATATTATAAGATAACTAATTCATGGATAGATTTATGTTTTTCTTACCATTCTCGTTTTTATAATATTAAATTTGAAAATAATATACTTTATTAAAGCAACAGAACTGTATTGAACCTTGTAATACAATTCAATATCTATTAAATTAAATACAAGCATATGTTTCATACTTGTTGAATGGTTATTATTAAATGTTGTGTACCTACTTTAAATCTTATTTAATTTGATATTTACAGGATCATCATTTAAATATAAATAAGTAAAATTAAAATTTTTGTCAGTAAATGTTTGTTAATGGTAATATGTTTAATTATTACCTAATTAATGTATAACGTGTAACTGTGTAAGTAGTATGAATAGTTATTTTATTGTTGAGTAAAGATTATTGTCAAGTCTTTCATGGAATTGTTCTGAAGTTTTTTGCCCAAGCATTATGTTATAATATGGAAATACTTAAAAATTAATTAATATATTATACTTTTTTTATCACTGTAAAAAATATTAATAGGGCTTGAATGGAAATTTAAATGAATGTTCCAATCTTTGGTTAATAATTATAAATACAAATTACAAATGAGTAGGGGAACATGGATCTTAATAAGAGCCGGTTAGAACATTTGCAACTGTGCTTACTTGTAGAAATATTTATAAATTATCGACCACTTATCATTTATATTTACTGACTTACACTTTATAGTAACTATATTAAATTTATTATGGTCACTTTTTACTTTTGCTTGTACAATAACATACACATTTATAAATTGGTATTTTATGAAAAATACCTATAACATGTTTCGATTATTTGAATGTTAAATTTCAAAACATAAATAACAAATTAATGTTATATTTTCTACGGATATTTTATATTTTGAAAGTATAATACTATAATGTAATGTTTCTTGCGTAAAACATTATTTTTTCTTATAAATTTCAATTTTTAGAACAAATATATAAATAATAATATTTAGTATAAAAATCAAAGATATAAGTACTATTTAAAATTTCTGTTTTTGTTAAAAAAAAACTACATGATAGGATAAAAAAAAATATTAATCAAGATTCACAAAATTTTATTATTAAAAAAAAAAAATACCTTATCAAAATGTATTTGCCATAATTTATAAGTAAAATACAAGTAATACTAAAATCTACTTCAATTCATAATTAATTACATAAGAAAAATAGTAATACAGTAGATACACACAATGAAACTATGATTGTATTTTAGTGACATTATTATCAAATATTAACCAATTATCAATAAAAAAAAAGTACATTAAATTATTTAATGTTTTTTTTTAATTTTAATATGCATAAAGGTAATGTATAAGGGTTATGGAGATATAAATGATTTAAGTTTAAAAGAATGACAAAAACATTATTAGTTCAAAATATTTTCTGTATAAATATATAAAACAATAACAAAAAATAAATAAACTGTCTTAGTTTTTAATTGGTATTCATTGTATCAATAAGATGACACATCAATTTATCTTTAGGTATACATTTATCAACTCTAGGTTCATCGGCATTATTCTGTTCTAAACGATCAATTTTGGATGTGTCCACCATTAACTTAGAATCAAGCTCCGTGTCTGGCAAATTTTCTAATGTTTGTTGTAAAATATCGCTTACCTATAAGATATTAAGTTATTACAATTACTATCAATTGTAAACACTAGAAATATTAAAATTTACTTTATCTATGTGTTTTTGCAACCGTATTGTGGTTTCATTTCTTTGTCTCCTCTGCAAGTCTAGCATGACACGAACGGTTTCTCGTGCTTGGTGTGGACGAAACTCATTTAATAAATGGTGTATATGTATAAACAATAGACTTATGTCATCAACTTTTTCAGCTCGTCTAGGAGAGTCAGGACATTGGATTAGCAGATCCAGTAAGTCAAGAAAGTTAACCAATAACGAATGATTAAGCTTACGTAATTCACGACGTCTATCAAAATGTTGAGGGTAAAGGCGTTTAAAACCCTGAAATCACATATTTTAGAATAAACTCGTATTTATATAGTATGTATTATATTACTATGTAATCACTTGATTTCAACCAGATGAAATAATAACATCACAAACATTAGAGAAAATTAAAAATTAAAATAATAAACAATATTCTTCTATTTTATTAGTACAACATACCTGAGTTTCTAAAGGTCTTATTATACTATCTTCAGCATTATATGGATTTCCAAACATTGTGTATGTTTCTTGGATTATTGGTGGAGGCTTAGAAGCACGACCTCGCCTAATGTTTTCATCTGAATAATTTTGGAAGTATTGCACAGGTGGTAAAGGCAAAGAACATACTTGCATCGCTTCTTGGTTATTTGCCATTCTGAAAGTTGAGCATATTGTGAAATACAAAAATCAAAATTTTTTGACATAGTTACAATATTACACATTGGAAACTTAAAGTGGTAACATATTACTGCTAGATATAAGTATAAAATACCAATTAAGAAGTTGGAAATATTACTGAAATTGAACATTCCGTAAAATAATCATAGAAACAATTTAAAGGTATAGAAGTGGAACATAATATACGGTAATAAATTTTTTTATGTAAATTACATATGCAATACGGATTGTAACAGAAATACAAAGAAAAAAATCTATAAGCAAGTGAAATGTGAATCTGTGAATAAAATCTGAGTATAAATAGTGTTTTCGGATTAGGTGTGTGGATAATTATTGTATTTGAATTACACTTACTTAACAACTATTGTAATTTGTAGTAGCTGTGGGTGGTGATACGATTTGAACGTCACGGACTTTACGATACACGGATAATATTACTACAAAATGTCACTAAAGACGCAAACAAAAAACAGCATACAATTATTCGTCGTTTATTGCCTAATATTATTCAATGATAATTAAATAATATTGCGTTTACGATCAACTCACAAGCTGCTGAGTTCTGAGTTCACTTTAAGTTGGTCACTTCAAGACTAGTCTGGATCTGGATTCGGCAGTCTGGCTTGTTGTCAATTTGTTATTGTTGTTAACGGGTAATCATGAAATCAATTAGCGATAACGACAATCGATCTGTTATCAGCTGCTGTCTAAATTATAAATTCACTCGGATGTCCGGTTACGACCGTCCAATGGCAACCTGGTAACCATTAATTCAGTCGTGGTCACCTGTTAGTCGTGGTGATAGCAGCACCACGGAAGAACGCACGACGTCCTCACCCCCGCCAGACCCTTTCACCGCTAAAGTACCAACAGATATTATTATTATACATACAATATATATACTAAAACTGGTTTTCGGTTTTTTTTTCGTTTTATTTCCATTATTTATTTGTTTTATTATTATTTTTTTAAATTTCGTTTAGTCGTCTCTAACTAGTAACTACACCATTCTCTTGCCCATAAAACACTCACGTCTACCGCATACTCTTCTCTTCCTTTATTTTTTGTTGATTTTTCCTTCATAATTATTATATCAATTTTCCTTCGAACTCAGTCCACTACAGTTGAAATCCACAATCCATTTGTGGACGACACAATACAATGATGTGCTACCCGCTACCAACTACCCGCATCCGTCGAAGATTGAAATAATAACGAAAATCAGTGAGTATTGACAACACAAATGATGTGCTTAAAACTCGTCTTGTTCAACTGTGATCTGTGTGAAATTCGATTTTAATTTATTAACTTTTTACTTACTTTTAAACACCTGGAATAAGCTGGTGTAGCAGGTAGCCAAGATAAAACCTATATAGAAATATTTATAATTTGTGCATACAATATTATGATTACAATATTTCTGTATTTAAAATTAGATAGGTAGATTCTTAAATTTTTGAATTTTTTTAAGTCTTTTATAATTTTTAAATGGTTTTTGGTGTGTTGTTAGTTATATGATGATGGCTAGCAAAGATGAAATAGATGACTGTGACATCATCAAACAGGGTCTGATGGTGAAGCGATCGCAGAACAAAAAACGATTCATGCCTATTAACTACAAACAGAGATGGTTTGTATTGACAACCAAGAACTTCATTTACTATGAATCTGAATCGGAAGTAAGTCTGTAATAATTGATCTGAATTTATTGGTTTTGGATTTGTTTGTTGTTGAACATTTGCATTTATACATTTATTAATTTCACATCCATAATATATATTATTGCATGAACACCGATATTTCATAAACTGGGTTACTCAACCTTTGTATTTCATGTGAATCATAAATAACCTATGTAAACTTTTTTAATTTAAGTAGTATAAATTAAATAAAGTTACACATTATTCTGATCATTTTTGGTTCAAAAATAATTGAATTTTTTTAAACAACTACTAATTATTTGAAAACCATTTCAATTTTTATTACCTTAGTGTTATTAGGTTTATTTTTTGTGCTCGGTGTTCCGGAACTATGTTTATAATTTTTTAAGCTGACTAATTGATTTCTAATCAATAATAATTGTGTGGCTTGGAAATAAAATAGGCTAAAAGACAAATTTTTAAGAGATATATTTTATTAATTTTACTAATATTTATAAACTTAATTGTTATTAATACATTTTATTGTAATTCAAATAATTTTTACTTGTCAATATTATTGTATTTTATTGATTATGAGTTAAAATCTTAGTAAATATAATTAATATAAAAATAAATTTAATGTGTTAATTCAATTTAACATTTTTAATATACCTAATAAAATATACATTTTTTCTTTTATTTAACTAATAAGTTAGAACTGATTAGGTAGGGTAGATCTAACTAGATTCGTTATAGTATTAATTAAAATTTTTATCATTAGTTTAGCCAATTTTATTTCTAAGTCATTTTTATATATATATATAAATTACATTAATACAAAATTAGAAATATTAAAATAACTTATATTATTTGTTCTCCGTTCCATAGGAAATTATTGAAAGAAGCTCACTGCCGTGTCTCCATAACATACATCAACTGCTTAACAGGGTACATATTATGCTTTTATTTGTTACTAATATTAGGATCATATTATTAACCAGAAGACAATGAACCACCTAAATAATATAAATATTAAATTAAATGATTCAATTTATACATGATATAACATAATTTTCAAGTAAATTGTTTTTAATTATTATCATATATCTAAAATTGATATCTGCCATTACAACTATTTCAGTAAAGCTCTTTTAGTACTAGTTCACTAATGTGAAATATTATTTATTAAAACAATATTTATACATATTTTGTTTGTTATTATAACACTATTAAATCATTACTATTTATTATTTAATTTGCTCATAATGATGACTTCTAAAAGTTGGGAAATGTTAAAACATAGAAAATATGCATGTTGTTTGTTAATTTTTTTACAATAATATTATATAATTCTTGAAAATGTATGCACTTATATGCATGTATATTCACTAAATAATTAAACATGTTTAAAGGTTTTATCAGATATTGATACATTTTAAAATAATAACAAAAACAATTATTGTATTAAATTAAAAACATTATTAATATACTTCAAAAAAGTTATCTTTTGTGACAGATGAATGTAACAATTAACAAACCTACTGTTATGCATATACTTTAGGTAATGGGCAAGTTGTAGTTCAAATAATTTAAATATTTGTGTTATAGTAAGGTTTGTTGTGTATAATTATCCTGTTAATATTAAAATATTATTCTTGATTCATGGTGGCTTATTGTTATAAAGAAGAAATTATATATAAACATATACTTTGTCCAGCAAGAGAATGCACAAATCAATGCATCCTCACTCAACACCCTGTCATAGTGGAACCATTCTCAATAGTAGGGTATTATTCAGGAATATTCTGAACAACCAATATCAGTACCAAAAATGTTTTTTCACTAGATAAAGTATAATTATGATATTGTTTTACTCTGAGAAATATTAAAATCCATATGAAGAATAAAGTGTAAAATTAATATTTTGATGTTGACAAAGTCATAGGGTACATCACATATTTAGTGTAAATTAAAGATTTTGAGGAAACATTTTTTGGCATTGAAAAAATTTCAGAATACCATATCCCTTGTCTTATCATTTTAAAATGAATCTTCCTATTAAAATTAAAAATTATTTTTTTTATTTTCTCTATGATTACCTTATTTACAATAAAACACTTCTGATAATTGTTAAATACCTTATTAATGTAAATATTATCAAGCATAGTTTCACTAAGATCGACTCTGTTCTTAAGCTATAGTAAATTTTAATTTATATTTATTTTAAAATGTACAATAATAATGCACCACTCTTCTGTTTAACGGTGGATGAAATAAAACAAGGATCCAAAACCCTAGCACTGTATCCTGTTTGGCTTTTTATTATGTTTTTAATGGATGATTAATAAATTTATATAGGTGGGTCCTTTTTTGATTCGTTTATCATTATTCTATTATAGTAGCATAGTTTCCGAGAACAAGTTCTAAATAATTTATGATTATCTGTATGCATATCTTAAACATAATGAATGTTATTATTTTTATAGCTTATAGGATCAATTTGCATGAAGTCTTATATAGTAACTAAAAAATAATAAATACGCAAAATAAAATTTTCAACTAAATTTTTTTAATTTTGTATATAGAATACGATAGTAAGTATTTAGTTTAATTCTGAAACATAATTACAAAAAATTTGATTGCCTATCTAATCTATATAAACCTGATATAATTGCAGTACAATGTGGTATTATTTTAAAAATAACTATAAGAGTATAATTAAAAATTAATGTAATAATTTGTTTGATGTGTTTGGCAATAATAACTGATAGCATACCTACTATTTGAAAATTAAAATGCATGTTAAACATTTTTTCATTTGTATAATTTATTGACTTAGTATTATTTATTACTTTTATTATATAAAAATATACCTATAAGTCAGGAAAGTTTGAACCAAATTTGAGTCTTTTTTTGATGTTTTATAACTTAACTATAAAAAATATACATTTACTAGAAATCTCAAGCCTTAATAATAAGTAATAATATTTTTTATACATAATAACATAATAACTTTAAAAGTTAAAACCAAGAGACAAATATCTATTTTAATGTAGTGTAAATCACAAATATACTAAACTTCATAAACATTATTTCAGTCTACCCAATTGATAAAAACATTTACACTAATTTTTTTTTATATTTAATAAAATAAATCATTAAATCTATTGAATATTGTCAAATTTACTATACTAAGTCAATAAGTCAATACAATTATTTTTTTCATGCTATCTGTTTAAAAAAGTTGTGATTGTTTAATTCTTAAACTTAGACTAAATATATTTTATTATTATTTATTTTCCATAAATTGCATTAAAATTAAAAAAAAAATAATTTAACATGTTATAAAATATATATACAGATTGTGTTTGTATTATAGATATTAAAGATGTAATAAATAACTTTACTAAGTACCAATAAAAATTGAAAGGTTGTTGTATATTTTATTAGTTTCCAGTTTTTAAGTTGAATAATTATAGAAATGTTTATATAATATAAATATATTATTAGTATTTTAAATATTTTTGTAATTTGTTTATAGCGTAAAAAAGAACGAGGTCGTATAAAACTGTCTTCGGTAACTGTAATTGAAACAGCTACCATTAATTCTTCACCAAATATTTTATCTCAAGATACTACTAACAATGATGGTGAAAATGGATATGCATTTCAAATATCATATAGTGATGGAAATGATCAACAATATACATTATATTTAATCACTCAAAAACTTCAAGATCGATCTGATTGGATAAGATCTTTAAGAGCTGGTATAAATTAATAAATCATTATATTTTATGTTTATTAGACATATTGGGTATTAATTAACATGATAAAACTGTTAAAGTATGTGCTGACACTTTGGTGAAGAGTGAAAAATATCATGCATCAATTTGGGGTGGTAAAAAATGGCAATGTTGTCGAGCTCCAACACGAATTGCTGAAGGCTGTGAACCATGTTCTGAATGGAACAAAACACCACCAAATTCGCCTATCATAAAAAACAGTGAAAATAATAGTCCAATATTAGGTAAGTACTATTTATAGTATGAGTGATTTTATTTAATAACAAATTCCATTGTATAAAACGCATAGAATTAATTTGATTTTATCAATTATTATTAAATTTTAAATTTGCATTACCACAGTAAGAAAAAGAATTATAAAGACATTTATATGCACCCAATCTCAGAACTAATTCAATCTAATATATTTAAACAATGGCATATAAATGTTGTAATATATTAAAATCTCATTTTAAATAATGATTTTTTTTTCTTCAAAATGTTAACATTAAAAAAAAAAATAAAAAAAAAATACCAATAATCTGTAAAATCTTGGTCTTTGGCATATATTTATATTAATATAATATTTGTACCTATGTATAATATAGTATTTTTGTACTTAGTTATATCAATTTGTTAATATTTTCTATGTTTTATGATTCTAATATTTAATATAGTCCTAATTGTTAATATTTTTAATTGTTCACTCTTATGTAAATGAACCATTGCTAACTTTTGATTTTAAATTTCATTATCTGGAACAAAATATGTGTAGGTATAATTATTTTAAAGTTGTTTAATTTGTAATAATTTATTATTCAAATAAGAAATAAAATTGCAAAAACTAAGAGACCGCTTATACAATTTGTAATGTATGAACTCCATTTATTATTTGAGAATTTTTCACCCAATAGAAAATTTTCATTCAAAAAATTAAATTTTGTGTGGCTAACTTATAGTAGTATACCATAGTGTATGTTTGTTTTTACTTTGTATAATACTCATAAAATATAAATAATATAAATCATAACTCCTTTAAAATTTAAAACATTATTAAAAACAAAATTAACTAACAGGTATAGGGTTCTTACCTTTAAATTTAAAAAATATTAATAACTAACACTGAAAAATAAATTTTTCTAACTGTAAGTTTGCTATGTTGTGAGTTTATATGATAAGACGTTCTCAGGGATTTGAAACTGACCATTTTTAAGTACAGTCAAATTCGCTTATTACGATCTTCAAGGGACCAAGAGAATCTGATCATTATAACCGAACTTCGTTATATCCGGATTATAAAATGTAACAACACATAAGATATAAAACCAACCAAATACATTGCTTGGAATCGTTCTACCCGGAATATCGTTGTAAACGGTATCGTTATAAGCGATTTCGATTGTAGTTCAAATACAATCTAGTGATTTTTCTAAATACTTGAATGTGTGATATTGTTTGATGTGTACCTTTTTAGTAATTTAGACATAATGTATATAGTGTGTGTGTGTCTTTAGTGGAGCACTCCCGTACCTACTTGCACCCTCATTATATCAATAGTTTTCCAATAATTATATTAAATATTAGAGTAATTAATCTAGTTAATTTTAAGCCCGGTATAACTTTAATTATGAATTTTACTTGAACATGACTTTCTTACATTTTTAGTAATTTGTTGAATTCAACATTATAAAATTTTTAAGTCCTTAATACTCTAAATTTAAAAATCAAATTTTGAAAAAGTTTAAGTGTAAAAAGTATAAAAATAATTTTCAAGAACTTTAATTTTGTGAAAATTCAAATATGTTTTTACTGTTTTTAGAAGCGTTTTTCTAATTATTTCGACAATTGGCACAATAATTTATATATTTAGATGTATTTATTTTGTTAAATGGTTTCAAAACCAAGATCAAATCTTCTAATAAAAATTTTATGAATGAAAAATAATTAATTAGGTACCTACCTATTTTTATAAATTTACACCACATTATTTTATAAATGGATTAACATTTTGAATTAATTAATATAGCTTATGATTTCGTTACAAAAAATAAAAAAATATATTATATTATAAATCAATTTTGGATTTTAAACGTCTAGATATTAAACTATGATGAAACTAAGAGTAAATCAAAAATACAATTATAAAAATAGAAATTTCAGTAATTATTGTTTTTGCTTACATTGCAAGAAATAACTTATTTACTTAAATTAATTATTTAATTTTTTTTTTTTTTGATTGAAAAAGTCTTAATTGCTTAATCAGAAGATTTTGTTTATACATGCATGAATTATCATTACACTCTCACGACTATACCAGACTCTTATACATAGTGCTACTAGTATGTAAATGATGCAATTTGTTCATGTATAAATGTTGTTTCTCACGACTGTAAATAATAAATATATTTATATATTGTTGAAATTGCCGTTAATAACCACGTATATACTTTTTTTTTAAATAAGGGAAAGGATTTTTGTGTAAAACTTAATATCAAATTATATCTAAAATCAATTATGTAGACAAATTTAATAACCGTGTATGGCACACAAGAATCTTAAAACAACTTCCATTTTCATATTCATATAATTATATAAATAAGTAATACACGTTAAGTATTATGTATAGTTTTCGAAATTGAGATTCTCTGATATGATAATACATGCATATAATGATTTTAAAAGATAATATATTTTACGTTTTTAAAAGAAATACCAAAAGTCAATGATTTAAGTTTTTTTGCTGTTGTAGTGATGAATGTTTGGTCTTAAATTGATGCGTGTTTTTTAGGGATTGAAATGTAGATAATTTCTAGTGCGTTTAAAAATAATCGGAAAAACATGCAATGACTGAATATAAATTGTGTACATTTATTAAATTGTTTTTTTGACCTAATAAATGATGACAAGGTTTATTCGAAACTTATTATACAGAAATTCGTCTTCCTCTGTTTTTTTACTTGGGTTGGGTATACGTTCAAACAATGTTATTTACGAAATTTATGTTCCGCAGAATGTTTATTTTTTTAATTTCTCTAATTTTTAACAATAGATGGTATTAGGTGTTGTGAATAATACTATTAGTATACTCGTACGTGATTTATTTTAAGCCGAGGATAGTTTTGGATACATTATAAACTTGGTATCACTTTTTAGAACTAATCGTGAAATTATTTTTGCTTCTAAATTCAAATCTTCGTCTTCCAGATAACACTTATATTACCTCTTTTTTATTTTAATGTTGTTTAAATGGTCGAAATATTCATTCATTTAGTGATTATATAATGATATTCAGGTATAATATAAATCATGTACTATAGATAGTAATTATTGTAATATTTACCCTTCAAAGATATTTAACTGATTATTTTATTTCTAAAATATTAAAATAAAGACTAGATAGTTGTTTCAGGCATAATTTAAATTTGACGCACGTATGTCATCGTCTGTTACAGAGTAAGGTCATCGTATGAGACAACTTTTACCTCTAATCTCACTATTTGACATAAACTTTAAAATTAAATTGAAACAAATTACAATCAAGGTCTATAATTTTTTTCTATAAATATAGAATATTTGTTTAGAACAAAAAAAAAAAAAAAATAGTAGTAAATTTACCGAAAAATAAAAACTGATTAGTTTACCTGACAACTTTTGAAAGTTGTATAATATATGTGAAAATGTTAAGTATATAATATTATGTAGGCATACTTATTGGTAGTAGGTACGTATTATGGGCACGTCAAAGGATCACAATGAATTTAATTATAACTGATAATTAAACTTTTTTTTTCATGTAATTTGTTTAGTATTAATTAATATTATCTATATTACAAATCGATAACACTTCTCAATCAATATTTAGACTATAATTATTTAAACTATAGATCCGTAGTCCTTGTATTATTGTTCATATAGTTAGGTAATCAAGTTAGGTATAATATTATTTAATAGATATCGAAATGGGTTGAAAATGTTGAAACGCTGGCTCATTAAGGGTTAGATCTTGAAGGTCTATTTGAAATATTATGTGTATATAATAGGTATTTATTATACATAATAAACTTATATTTTATAAGTATAGACAATATTGATATTTTTGTTTAAAATAAATGGTAGCGTTCTCAAAACGAAAACAAGTATAATTGGTTCATATATATATATATATATTTATATGTAATATAATAATAATAGCCAATAGAGGTGTGTACCTAAACGTCTAATTAATATTATAATATGCACATAATAATTATATTGAAAATAACTAGTTTATAATATTTTGGTCGTGTTTTAAGCTCTAGGAGCTGGTAACACTGCAGTGGTGTTTTAACCCGGTCAATAACAATGTATGCGTTTAGTGCGCTTGCCTTGATGCGTTCTCCCCTTCTCGCGTGAGCAGTATTCATATATGCTGTGGCGGAGGTGCAGTACCTTCAGCCATTCACTTTTTTTATCTTTACGTTACGCTCGTCCCCCACGAAGAATCGTCGTCCCAACTAGTCCAGACAGGTGTTAGTACACATCTCGGTCGTGCGTTTACCGAACGTCGTTTGTAGAGCTTAGCGATAGCACATCATTATATACATATTATAAAGTTGTAGGGTTAGTCTACCCAATATTATTGTCTTACCCGATATATCCTTAAAAATCCATCCATAGGCGTTGCGTGTCCTCTATGTCAAATCAAGCCGGTCTTAAGACAGCATGTAATACAGCCGTGACGAATAATCCAACGAATATAATATATTATATTCATTAAACGAAGGTGCGTACCACTCGGAAACTTAAATAATCAAAATGCAATGTAATACTATTGTACATAATATTTTTTTAACAATACTGTGTATACAATTAGCAATAATGTTATAATTTATTAATATACAATATTGCAATATAATATATCACGTATTGATGTATTGTCTTGTTTGTAGTTTGCTAGATAAATTCAATATTATTTAGAACTTTGTTTTAAATCTTCTGTACAAATTTTGTCTCGATGAGGCGAGTTAGCGCTCGTAAGAGGGTGCGTTTCTTTTGCACTATGTATGTTCACTCCCATTGCATGGGGTGTGTTGTCACGAGCTGCCAATCAATATAATATGGACGTGACTCAGGCAACGCTTTTAGTGTAATATAAAATTTGAAATAGGATACTAAAAGTCAATATAGGTTAGTTTTTGTATCAATATTTCGATTTTAAGTTGAGTTATTTTTAATGGAAAAAAGTTAAGAATAAATCTTATAATTTCGTTTCTTTACGTACATTTTATATCTTATGCACCTAGATAAACTTATTTTTTTTCTTATAATTTATTCAATCAATGCATTGAAGTTTTAATAGTTAATTTGTGTTTTTAAAATATTTTATTACCTATTATAATTAATTTGAATTTATATACATATAATAAATTATTTTATGTTTATTAATAACATAACCATATATATGAAATAAACATTTTGTAGATGTTTTAAAATTATTATTTATTCCCGTGTGCTTAATTCACAAACTACATATTATAATTTAAACTAAAAATAATTTTCACTATTTTATCCTAGAACTTGTTGTATTTATTTGAAATTATTCAAAATGATGATTAAGACGACAAGTACTGGTTTTCTATTTTTCATGTTGTAACTTTACTGTTGTTAATAATGACCATAGCCTGGTAGTGTTAATCGTGACTAGTTGACCGACACATAATTTCTTAGGTACACAATATTTTTTACCCATAATCTTGAGAAAATCGCTTTGAGGCGTTTAAATTTCCGTGCCATCGAACTAGTGAAATATACCTGCAGTGTATATCATAGATGCTAAAACACTTAGTTAATGCGGTTGGTGGTACACCTAATAAAACTTGTTATTATTATTGTCGTCATTAAATATTTTTTTGAACCTTATCGAATTGAGAAATCTAGAAACTTGGTCAACCGTAGCTTTAAAATAACATAAAAATGGGCATATATTAATTTTAATTATAAATTTTACTTTAATGATGTATTCATTTTTTTTTTTCTATTACGATATTTTTCAGGTAGATACGTTATTATAGTTTAGTTTATTTGATTTACAGTAAAATACATAATGTACCCTACCTACATGTATATTTTTATAATATTTTTTTAATCGAGTCAAATCTTTTTAGAAGTTTTTTTCTACAAAAAAAAAAAAAAAATAGTATTGACTATTCAGTAAATTTTAAATTATCTTCTTGCAATAATTATTGTATTCATATTCATTTTCTGGATTTCCTGTGTTAGAAAATATAGTGGTCTTTGTTTAAAAATTTTACTTTTTTGTTTAGTATTTTTTTTCACTATTTTATCTTCTATGGATTATTACTTATTAGTACTACTCATACTAACTACTTCTTTTATAATTCATATTATTTATTGAGATAACATTTCCTAATAAAAATTAATTTGATTAATTAAAAACCTATTTTGGTAGCCTATTGTGTAGTTCTTAAATTAAATATAAATTTGTTTGTTTATATACGAAAACAAATATTTCGTGTTTCGATGTCAATATTAATAACCATCAATTTATTTCAGACCTGCTAAAACTATTTTGTTGTTAACTTATTACATTGCTCTTTGGAAATTAATGATAAGATATGAATGTAACAATTTGTTCAATCTAAAAACATTACCCAATGTTTCATCTCAACATAATTAACATTACTCTTTCTTATTATAAATTAAAAAACTATACTGTATTTTATTGTTGTAGTATAATTTTATTTTTTTTATTTTATTAGGTAGATACTTAGTAGGATACGTTAGTGATATTTGAGTTTTAAAACATTTTGAATTCAGTGAGTCATCGGATAATGTAATTTTATACTGGATGTTTATTCCCCTCGTATTACATTAACTTTATTCTCGGTAATAATTTTATATTAGCAGACACGAACACTATATGCATATATTTACTGTATAACCCCTCGTTTTCTACATTTCTTCAATTTCCTGTATATTAATGGCGCGTATAGGCTGTATAAAGTTAGTAGGCTTAACGATATCTACGTATGTTTTATTATTTGTAAACATTTCTTTTCATTGTTAATTGTAAAGTATTGTATTTACTTTTTAGTACCTATGTATGCTAAAAAGCATAGACTTTCTACTTTAGCGAACTTCGTTTTATCCATTTTATTTTATGTTAATAAAACATTAAGTTTTCATAATAAAACAGTATATTAGTTTCTCAAAACTCATCTTTTCGCAGTTCAAAAATATGATTAAAATAATTAAAAATAATTTGCATGTGTACTCTATTTATTAAATATATGTTTTTACAACTTTTAAGAAAATCAAAATCATAATGAATTATAATATTTCTATTAAAACTTTTAATTTTGTACTTTATATTTGTTTTTTTTTAAATCTCTATAATATTAAAGCAAGACAATTTTTTTGACGATAATATGTCATATGTCTGGGTGTCAAAAAAAAATTTCTGTTACGAAAAAAATGCAATGTATTTTAGAACATAGCAACGTATTATTTTGCGATGTGAAAACTAACGGGGTGATGTTGTCATATACACATTTGAAAATTTCCATGTTGACAATTTATAAAAAATTATTTGGTACAAATAAATAAACCTCAATATCAGAAATGTATTGTATGATTTGCCATAAGAAATATTTATAATTTTATACTTTTTCCCATAAAGGAAAAAATTTAAGGTTTAGTATTTTTTTCATAATTTATATGCAAAAATATTATTAAAATTTGAAAAATGCGGACACTTTTAAATTTTAATTGACACGCGCGCGTAGCTAGTCATAAATATATGATGTGTTGTGTTTTCACATTTAATCAAAAAAATGTTCCTGTCAATATTCGGTGAAAAAATTAATTATTAAATTTCTATTAATCTTGTGTGTGATAATTTTATGTAATAATATACTCTTTCAAAATACCTATGTTTTACCCTAAAATATTAATAGTAAAGCATGAATATAATAATATTTATATCTAAGATATTCTATTTAGTATTTATGGATTTACAATTAGTGTTATTTTTATTTGATACCTAATTTATTTATTACATTGGTAATACAAATTTAGTACCAAATTAAATGATCTAGTAATGTAATTGTTATGATGATAATTTAAATTAATTTATAGGCATTTTTTTTTTATAAATTTTAAAAATGATCTATTATTGTGTTTGGTATGAGTTTATTGTAATTTTAAAAATTTAATAAAAGTAATGAATATTTGAATATGCTTGTTTATCACGCTCGTACCTATTTATATGATGAAACCGTGTGTTTTGGTTCGATTTAATATTGTTTGTGGTTTGTTTTGTGTAACTCATTCCACAAGTATCACCAACATAATTTTACGAGTGCTACGTTTTTTTCTAAATAATTGAGTAATGCTTTTTCACGTGATGGTAAGCCTGGTAGGGGGATATTATTAGGAGTGAAAAAAAAACAAATAAATAAAATATTTTGTAGACCACCTTCATTGAAACACATACACACAGCTGTATTTTATTTCGATATTCCGTACACACATATAAGAATAGGGCGCTTAGGTTAGGTTCTCTGAAACAATGCACACACACATACGCACATGCACACATATGGTCTTTGGGCTTCACCTCTGTCTCTTCTTCCCTACATCGCTCACATAAAGGCGTAATTGTCTTTGCATAATACGGCGAGTATGTAGTGTACATCTTTGATATATTGTATTATCTTAGGGTAAGATAGAGAAAGAAGAGGATTCGGAAACGAATAAAAAAAGTGGGAAAGGCGTTGCATTAGGTGAATGACTTTGTATTCTGTTCTGTTTATGGTAAAGGTAACAGACAGAATGGTCCACCGGTCCGCGTACAAAAATATAAAAGGAACCAACGATTATACAAGTAAAGAGTGTAGACAGACGCTCTTATTATTATTATTATCATTATCATTATTATATTGAAACAAAACAATAGTTGTTCTTTAACGAATGTATTATATATTTTTTATAGGTACTATTCATTTTTTGTTTTGAAATATCGATAGTGAAAATTGTATGTCGTTGAGACTAGTTCGTGACTGTTCTTTCCGTGTAAAATTACAAAAAATGACATTCGTGTTGTAATGTTCTGATTTTCTCAATATTATAATGACAATTTAATAACAGCTTTAACATTAACAATAATTATATAAATTAACGAAGTATAAATTTTAAATTATACGAAAATAATTAAGTTACAAATTAATTTTTGAAACAAGCCTTAAAACTAAACTATAGGTTTAGAATATAGAACAATTAGATCCAAATTATCTAAACTATTATCTAGTATTTAAATTTAAAAAAAGTCAATATTGACAACTTTGTGGGGTTAAAATGAAAAAAAGTTAGTATACATTTCCATAATTCATATATCTATAAATAATATTATATTATAAATCAATTAGCATGAAATGTATAACGAAGAATATTTTTCATGATGTCACTAGAAATGATAAGTTTTATGCATTTTAATATTTAATCACGGTAGATATTTTATGTAATATAGACTATAGAGGTTTCGGTAATTATTGCTATTTTAGGTATGTTTTTTCTATCGGACTATTTTTTTTTTTTACTATTTTGCTAATTAATCTACAAATTTGTTTTTGCATTTAAGAATTTATTAATAATTGTTTTAATACAATTTCGGTTATTTTTTTTCGTTGTATTTCTGTATAAATTGTCCGTTTATTTTTATTCGGTTTCGAAATTAGTCATTAAAATTAAATAAGCCAATTATACATTTTTAATTATATTTTTTAAATTAAAAAATTAATTTTTTTTTTATTTAATTTTACTTTTTCAATTACCCAATGACCATTGTATATATTATTATATTTTTTTTAAATATAACAATATACAAAATATTTAATTTAAATTTTACTTAATTTTTATTATAATAATAAAAAAGTTGAGTGTGATCTTAAATATTTTTATAGTAATTTTGTAATAAATATTATGAATTTTTCATAAAATAACTTTTGATTCTTATTATTATGTATAAACCAAGTGAAATTTACATGGTAGTTGCTTCTGCTGAGTTGAGGTCAATTCACCATGACTAGTAACACAAATCTAATTCTACTATCTGACCCCATTGTATTACATCAACAAATATAATACTATTTTTTTTCGGATTAACAATATGTTATGATTATAGATTTTAATTTAGTTATATTAAATGGAATATAATATCAAATTATATATATTTTTTTTTTCACAGCATTAACAGGAAGTCCAATAATGCCAGGTGGAACCCCAGCTGCTAAGTTAAAAGTAAGCATTGCTATGTAATATATATTTTATAAATTCAAAATACAAACTATTATATTAATTAAATTTATTTATTTTAAATTATCATCAGGACCAAGTTCCAAGGATTAAGGTAGTCACTGCACTATATCCTTTTAAAGCAATTGAACCTGGAGATTTGACTTTAGTTAAAGTAAGACAACATATTATTCATATTTAATAAGTTAACTGTCATGAGATCCAAAATTGGATCTCACTGATTTTTGTTTTTACTGTTAAGGAATTAACGTAAAAATAAATTCTTCAAATGACTTGAAATTTTTACATAATTTGTTATGTCTTAAAATATATTATGAGTACTGTTATTTATATTTTTTTAACTAAGAATGGGATCCAAACATGAATCTCGTAGCCATTTTACTAAGTCATTATTTTATTATTGTTAACTTGAAACTCACATTTGACTTTAGTATAAAAATTTTCATAAATAAGTTTCAGTATTGGATATAAATTTATATATATTTATAGTAAAATTAGTACATAATAAATTAATTTACCTCATAAAACCAATTAAAACTATTTATATATCTAATTTTTAATTAAAAAAATCAACATATTAATTTAAAAAGGTGGGCAAGTGGGTAATCGCTCTCCTGTACAGTAGATATAATTTATGTTAAATTTGAATTTAAAATTAAACATTGTTTATGAAATATGATTCTGATTGAAGACAATCTATCAACTTATTATATCATTAGTACATTTCATGATATGCTTTTAATATATAGAATTTGAATCTGATAAAAAGTACTATTAAGTGAGACCCAATCTTGAACAATACTTTTTAAATTATTGGTACTATTATAAGACCACAATGTAGAGAAGATCTATCTATCTATTTTCTCTATAGTCGATATTGAGTACATTGTGTGTTTATATTTTTTTATTTTTATTGTAACTCAAATTTGAATTTTGTTGCTAGGTAAAGTGACTATATAAAAAAGACCCCTTGACAGTTAATGTATTCAATTAATTTTACATTTTGTTAGAATATTAAAATTCTTTTGTTGCTTTATTTGAATTAATACAATTTATACCTTTTAGGGATGTGAATATGACGTCATTGATGATTCTCAAGATCATTGGTGGAAAGTAAGAGATGAGCATGGGTAAGTAAATATTATATACTTTACAATCTTCAACATTGAGATTTATTATAGTTTTTATCAAAATACTCTTAAAAAATGTTACAGTGCTATTGGTTACATTCCTAGTAATTATGTTAAAGAAAAAGAATTTCTCGGTCTTCAAAAATATGAGTAAGTATTACTTAAATAATTAAATATTAAATTTTAAACAAACCTATAAAATATTCATTTTACTTTTAACTTGAACTTTTGTTTCATATTTATTATATTTCTGACTATCACAAATATGTGTGTATAATAATATACATATTATATTTATTGGCACTTATCAGTTATCGTGATTACCTTTACAATTCTCTGATTCAATTCAATTTTTTGATTGCAACTATCACTACTGGTTAACACTGTCTTAAATTATTTTAGGAACACTTTTTATTTATAAGACAGAGTAATTTAAGTAGGTCTGTATATAAACTTTAAGTGTTTGCTTGTAAAATCTATGTGTGATAAGTCAATAAACAAATTTTCTTGTAACACACATTTTCATCAAAAAAATCTGGGATTTATATATCATAAAAAGAAAAATTTCTGTGACTTTTCATAAGTAATAAATAACTTTTTTATAGCATTACAAGTATAAATTTTACTTAGGAAACAGATATTTTGGAAATTTAACATTCTATATAAAGATCAAATAAATACATTTACGTGTTGCAGAAAATTGGTTAGTTGGTTGGATAACCCTACTTATATGTTTTTTTTTGTGTAGATTATACAATTATCTTAAAATAATATAAAGTAGTATTAATAAAATTGAGTTTACCAGAAGATTAATTAGATAACCAAAGTAACCAATCAGTACCTATATATATATATTTTTTTATTAATCAATTATTATAAATACTAAAAATTTAAACTTTAAACTTGATTCTTTAAAATTTTTATTATTTATGCAAAATAAATTTTATTTTGTATAACATTTATTATATAATTTGTATTTTAAGGTGGTATGTTGGAGATATGTCAAGACAGAGAGCTGAGTCTCTTCTTAAACAAGAAGATAAAGAAGGATGTTTTGTTGTTAGAAATTCATCAACCAAAGGTCTTTATACATTATCTCTTTTCACAAAAGTGTAAGTTTTTTAAAATTTGTGTTGTTAATATATATGTTATACCTTTTTTTAACAATATTTTTCATACTCATCAATATAATTTATAACTTGCATGAAATTTTAAATGTATTTTATATTTTTAGTTTCTAGTTACTTTGTTAAGTAGTATTAAAAACTATGAATCAACAAAAAAAAAAAAGAAAACTAGGAATTTTGTTACTTTACTGGACATCCTCTTTTTTTGAATTTTTTTTCCTTTTATGTATCTATATATATAGTTAGATATACTAAAAATTATGGTATAGTCAAAATTTGGCTGCCAAACCTAGTAGGTAACCTTTAATGGAATTTTAACCTCATGCAATTAAATTATAACAAGTAGTTGCTCCTTACACTTGCTAGTTCTGGTCCTAGTATCTTATTCATATTTATTGTTTCTTAAATAGATAAATGCATAATTACTATGGTTGTTGAATTTTACAGTTTATTTTTATTTAAACTAATTATTATGTTGTAATATTTATTTTAGACCACATTCACATGTGAAACATTATCACATTAAGCAAAATAGCCGAGGAGATTTTTTTTTAAGTGAAAAACATTGCTGTTCAACTATTCCAGAATTAATTAATTACCATCGTCACAACAGTGGTGGATTAGCATCACGCTTAAAAGCCTCTCCTTGTGATCGTCCTGTTCCTGCTACAGCTGGCCTTAGTCATGGTAAAAACTAAAAATTAAATTAATTAAATTTTCAATTATTCATTAATTATATGTGTATTGATTTGTAGATAAATGGGAAATAGATCCTGCAGAACTAATGTTATTGGAAGAACTAGGATCAGGTCAGTTTGGTGTGGTACGCCATGGTAAATGGAAAGGTTCTATTGACACGGCAGTCAAAATGATGAAAGAAGGCACAATGTCTGAAGACGATTTTATTGAAGAAGCCAAAGTCATGACGTAAGTCTTGTAAAAAGTAGTGTTACAATTAGTGTAGTGTATATAAGTAGTAAAAATACTAAAAATGGTAATTTCATTGTTTTATAAATATATTTATTATTTGACTTACCTTATTTAGAAAACTCCAACACCAGAATCTAGTCCAACTTTATGGAGTTTGTAGCAAACATCGCCCAATTTATATAGTTACCGAGTATATGAGACATGGATCACTGCTGAATTATCTAAGACGACATGAAAATAGTTTAGGTGGAAACAATGGATTATTACTTGATATGTGTATTCAGGTTAAAAAATGTCTTTTTGATACGTTTAAAAATAAAATATACCTTTACTATATTTATTATTTTAACATTAGGTTTGCAAAGGGATGGCTTATTTAGAACGTCACAATTACATACATCGTGATCTTGCTGCTAGAAACTGTTTAGTGGGTTCAGAAAATGTTGTAAAAGTTGCAGATTTTGGACTAGCTAGGTATTTAAAACATTAAATTATATCTTAATTACTTATCATAACTTATTTTTGCTTTAATTAATATTTAATTGTATTATCATATCGTGTGTTTACAACTGATAGTATTATTTATTTATTTGTTATAGTATGTATTTTATAGTCACAGTTGGTGCATTTCGTAAAAACCTGAAACCTAGATTTTCTATTTTGGAATTTCTTTTTACACATAATTCTAAATTAAATCAACTTAATTTTAAACAACTTATACTCGTGTATAAATACAACAATAGTATCTTTATGCATGGTTTAATATATTATATTATTATTAGGTATGTCCTAGATGATCAATATACCAGTTCTGGTGGTACCAAATTTCCCATTAAATGGGCTCCTCCTGAAGTCTTAAACTACACTAGATTTTCTTCTAAATCTGATGTTTGGGCTTATGGTAAGCAGAAAAAAGTGTACATTTACACATAATCTTGATATGGAATTTTTTTTTAAGGTGTTTTAATGTGGGAAATATTTACTTGTGGTAAAATGCCATATGGACGTCTTAAAAACACTGAAGTTGTTGATCGTGTACAAAGAGGCATTATTTTGGAAAAACCAAAAATGTGTTTTAAAGAAGTATATGAGGTAAATGTTTTTCCTGAATAGAATTAATTTATAAATTATTGTTTGTAAGCAATTATGATTTTAAAATGAGATTTTATTTTCAAAGGTTATGCGTAAGTGTTGGAGTCATTGTCCTGAAGATCGTCCATCTTTTAGACTGCTAAAAGATCAACTTGCTGTCACATCTCAGGTATTAATAGTAAACAGTTTATAAAAGAAATTAATAACTTACAATTTATATTGTTATTTGTTTTACAGGGCTTAATAGCAGATTGACGTGTTCCACAACAATCTTGCAATTGTGCTATTTGCTTGTTGCTTGACATTGGTTATGAACCCCTTATAGAATTGTGTCGATTAGTGATTGAAACAAATCGTCGTGGCACTCTTTGAACCTAAAAATACTATGTTCAGTTGTCAAAAATTTTCTGTGAGTTTATCTACAAAAAAATGATCTCGAACTTTGCGATAAGTTTTTTAAAACAATTTCAAATGCTGTTTAAATTTTATTAGTAATTACTATTTTATTGACATCAATTGAGATATACATTCCTTGTATGTATATGTTTTATTTAAAAAACTTGAAAATTTAGTATTATTTGGGTATTTGTTTATTACAAGATTTTTAATCCAAAATCAATTTTGAAAGCTAATTTGAGACTTTGAATTATATTTTACTACTAGTATAAACAAAACTTCATGTTCAAATAAACAATATTTGTATTATTTACTTTTTATATCAACATTTTTCTGAAAAACAATTCAAATTAATTTTATTTAAGTCTTCCATTTATAGATAAAGTATAAATTAACCAATGTGTTCCATTGTATATGCGCATATTTGTTATTTACCCTCAATAATGGTTGTGATATCATATTTTTATCTTTTTATTTTGAATTTAAAACAAGTACTAAATGGTTTTATAAAAATAATTAATTTTCCATTAATTTTGTGATCAAAATATAATATTGTTAGATACTGTATTAAATAAGAATATACTCAAAATTAGGTATACCCTCTGTTCACATAAGTAGATTACATTTTGTGACACAGTATCAAATATATATATAATCTTGAACTCTGTTTTCCAAGCACAAAATTAATTAACTTAATTAATGAGCTAAATAAATTGTAATCATAGATATTTATGTTCCAAAAGTCTAGTTTCTTGCTAGGAAAATATAGAAAAAATATATGTGACAAATGTTGTGAATACAAACCTTAAAATTATTATTTTGATATTTTTTTCTAATTTATTTTACATTCCTATGTTTTCAATATACAGATTTATTTTCTACTTATACTCTAATTATTAATATTTTATTTATTATTTATTTAGTATTGTTCATTTAAAATATAACAAGAAGTTAGATCTATTGATAATACTGGTAAAATTTAACCCATGTATATTTATAAGTTACATATTTGTTTAATCTCAATTGTGTCAAGTTGTGTGTGCTTATTTTATACTAAATACATTATTACCAAAAAGGTGAATTGAGCATTAAAAACATAAATTATAAATTAAAATTTATAATTTCAAAAAAAATGGCATTTTAATTAATATAATTTTGCGTAATAGTAATTGAACATTGTGTTATTCTTTTAATATATTACTTTTAGCAAGCAAGCTTAAAAATGTTTTTATGAGTTCCAAATTTTTGTATTATTATAGCGTATTGTGGTATTTGCTTCAAATGCCTATAATCTATTTTTATTTTTTTTTTTAAACTTAAATAAACCTATCTTATTGTATCATTGATTATTGTGTAAATATTAAGTCTTTAAAATGTAGAAGAATACTTTTATTTTTAAGCTATGTATGCTCAGTTTGATAATTTTAATACTATTTATACCTGTTTATACATTAATGATTTATATGTTTGTATATTTTATTTATGATCCTAGAAAGCTCATGACGGTACTTTTATACAAAAAGAAAAATCATATTTATATAAGAAAATAATATAGTTTAGAAAATCAATTAAACAACATTTATGGTGTAAACTAAAATATTACATTTATTAGACTGTTTATTATTATTATTGTGTACTTTAATAAGTCTTGTTTGACTAAAATAGCATGTCCATTGTCCGTATGTATATTTTTAATTTGTTAAGTTTAAGACTGATTTTTTTTTTTAAGGAAATTTATATTACTCAGGACCTACCTATTTTATATTATTTTGTACAGCTTGAATTAGTCGTTACTTGATATTCTATAAAAAATAATTGGTAAATTTGTCTTTTTTACATTTTTTAATAGTGTTTTATTGAAATACAATCATTGATAATGATGAAATTTATGTTTTTTTTTATAAAATGTAATATTTCTGATACTAAAAAAAATTTAATTTTAGTATAAAACCACTCCATATTATTATTTAGTATTTAATGGTATTTTATGCATAATAAGGATTAAAGGATTAAGGTATCCAGTTACACATTATTCCTCATCTAAATTACTATTAAATTTACAGTTTTAGATTAACATTAAATTATTATATTAATCTATTTAGAAAAATATCAATTATAACTTATAACTGTCTTAATCATATACCAACTGTCATCTGATATAATAGAAAAATAATTTTTACAGAAATACCAAAAAAAACTCTAAATTAAAATAGATGTTTTTATTTTGAAGAGAAAATGTGCTTTAGGGCTTGAACACATTAATTATACCATAACAATGTATGTGTAATAGCCTGGGAGTATTTGTTCAGATTCTATTACACTCATTAAAATATAATGTTTGATATATTGATAAACAATGATTTTTATTTAAAATATATGAAGACTGAATATTTTGAAAATAGTTCAACAATATGTTTTCCCAAAATTCTTCAAATTTTAATATTTTCAATTTTCTATGTGGGGTAAATAAAAACTTAACAAGTTCAGCTAGTCAATTAGTTTTTTTTTTTTTTTGTTTTTCAAACAATTATTTGATAGTATGATATTTATTTGACTGTGTCTAAAATAATGAAATTTGAATGTAAATATTGATTAACCCAATGGCCACATAGTGGCTGTAGTGCTGTTTGAGGTTCACCAACAAAATTGTAAAAATTAAAAATATTATACTAATAAGTAGGAAACGGATTTAATTGTAATAAAAAAATCAAAATATGTACATACATATGTAATTATTCTTATCAAAATATGTAAATATCATAAAAATATATGAGTATTGAAAATATTTTATAAATAAAAGTAAAATGTAGATGTATAAAACTATGAGTATTATTCCGGAACAAAGCAATGAGAAAAAACATCATGATTATTGTTAAAGGTTTACAAATGAAAAATTGCAATGGTTTGGTCGGAGAATACTCTTGTATTGACTAAAAGACCGTTCTATGTCAACAAATGTGATAGGGACATAATTCACGTTTACTATATCAGAAGGAGTGAATTCAATGTTCAGAGATCCTTGTTGATTTTTACCATTTAAAATATATGGGATGATTGACTTTAATGGTTTGAATCCAGAATTTTTTTCAATTATATTGGCAAATTTTTTTTTAACTGTTTCTCCTATGTGCCCTCGAGTTTTTTCTAATTTTTCTGCAGACTTTTCTATAATACTAATACTTTTTATCAGAGACATGTTTTTAGTTTACAATTGTTTAATTGTCTGGATCAAAAAACAAAAATTTGTAGAAATGTATCTCAAGTTTTTTAAATTAATATTTTGCATCAATGCATTTGCTTTTTCAATATCTGTGTCAGATTCAGTATCGAAATGCCATTTAGATATAGGTAACGTATAATATTTGGTGGTTGTCAAAAATTATTAATCTTGTTGATTTAAACGAAGCAGAAAATGTTTATGATCTATAAAATTAATGAAAAAAATCAAAAATTACTAAAATATGTGCCTACCTACTTATTTACCAAATATGTAAAAATATGTATTTATACCATAATGTGTAAAAAAAATGTAAAATAAATTTAGGTTTATTTTAATTAGAATGATCTGAATCGTACACATTTTTTATTAGATTTAAAATATCTTATTTCAATAAAAATAATATGTATTTACAATTAAATCCGTTCCCTACTGATAAGAAACCACTATTCCAATGTGTTCTGGTGTTCCGCCAAACATAGTGATTATGATGATGAATTTGGACCATTTGGTAATAAGCACATCAGCTATTAAGCTTATTTTTCTTTTTTTACCTTATAAAAATTAATCAGGCTTCATATATTTTCAATTATTGTTTACATTTTACCCTCAAAAACGTTAAATCAATCTATAAATGATGAATATTTTTTTTTTTTTTTAAATAGGACTATTAATATTATACTTGTGGCGCATGGATAGAGTCTAAACTCAATGTCCATTTTAGAGATGATACCATCAAATATGTTCTAAGGTCAAGAGTTACAATAAAAATAAATATTGAGAGTGTGAGACGTAAAACGCGCATCGGATAAGGAAATATTGTTCTTATTTACAGTTCGTCAGTTTCACATATTCTTTTATTAAAAGGAGGAAAATTGAAGTCCAATAATAACTTGGAAGTCTATTAAGTTGAGACGCGTGGTATGATAAGGAATGCGCTACTTAAGCAAAAGCCTATACATAATAATTTTTGAAACATACAATTAATCATTTTTGACATTGCATTTTAATTTATATTTCAATTCTAATTCATATTTATAAAAGTATAGGGATCAGATAGGTTTGACCTGTTAATACGTAACAAGTGTGAGGGCACAGGCTTCTCTTCAAGAAGAGATTAAACCCGTTCATCATGTCCCATATGAATCTGGAAGAATCGATGATGGCAACTGTTAGGATTGATTATATAGGAAATATCTCCACTCTCGTCATGCAGTCGCTACGTGATAAACACACAGTCGACAGTTTAATCGCTCATTTTTCAAGTAGGTATTCATGATACTTCTGCGGCACGCGTTTGATCAATGAAGTTTCTAGAATGTTTTGATTTTCCATCCGTGGAACGATGTGAAAACTGTTTATCCAGTACGGATCCGTGAGCGAGGGTAAAAGATGTATATCATACAGCGGCATCGGGTGAACCGTATCAGAACTAAAATCGTTTGTAAATAAAAAAATACAAGTAACAACTAAAAAGAGAGATAATTTGAAAATCGTATCACCTTTCTGGGTATTATTATTTATTTTTTGGTTATGTAATTAAACTCGGTTGGAAATTATAATGTTTAATGATAGCGTAAGTTAATACTGTAGTCGTCTAGAAATATCAAATAATAATAATAATATTAATATTAATGATATTATTATGTTTAACTGTTTAGCGTTTAAGTAAAATATTAAATAATATTGTGTAACGTGCTTGTGAATAATGTTCATAATTTACAAAAACAAAAGCCTTATTTATTCTTGTATTGTCTTTAATATATTTCATTACAACCGTACATGCAGTAGCAGCAAAATTTAATATTTTAATAATTATACATTTCTGATTAGTTTGTATATTGAATAGTGTTTTCTGTGTTATTAATCATTATTGACGGGTAATTATTTATTACGCGGTCTTTATCATAATATTGGTTTGTTTCAATAATTATTACACCGACCTTGGGCCGCGGTAATCTGGACTCCAAATTTTCGTTTCAAGTTTCAACCGTGTACCGTTCTGAAAATGAATATACCTACTACGAATTGTGGAATTATTAAAATAAAATAATATAATAACGTAGTCGGTTGGAAATAAATTTGGTTGCAATGATTGTTCAGGTAATTTCAATCAGTTCTACTAATTGCAATTAATATCTTTCTCTAAAATAGCCACTTATTTTTTTTAGATATTTGCCAGGAGAATTGGAACGAAATTAAAGTTACATGTCAATCATGTTTACTACAAAACCCTATCGACTAAAAAAAGTAATACTTGTGTTCATCAATCGTTATTGTCCAATACAAAACTTGCACGATGTTGCTCAGTGAATAGCAAGGTCCTCGATACCGAACAGACCAAACCTATGAACCAACCAAAAAATAAAGTTATCAGCACGATTAAACCATACTTAGAACTTATGCGATTCTCTAGTCCCACTGGTTTGAAAATTATATATTCTTTTAATATTAAATCCTTTGATCACAAAATATTTAGACTATTCATTGGTTTTTAGGATGGTTGCTTTTATACTGGCCATGTACGTGGAGCATTGCTTTAGCTTCAAATGCTGGTGAATTTCCAAACTTTGAAATGCTTGGCTTGTTCGGTTTAGGAGCAGTCATGATGAGAGGGGCTGGTTGTACAATAAATGATATGTGGGACAAAGATATTGATAAAAAAGTAAGTTATTAACTTACTTATTTAAATCTAAAATAATAACTTAGATTAGGCTGTCTTTGACATAAATCAAACTTTACTAATGGTTTTATACTAAATTGTAGAAAAAGATTTATAATTAAAAATAATTTTTTTTAATTTACCTAATTGAATTGTATAATGATATATTTATGTAATCCATATTAAGGCATTTCACATTTTAATATAGTTTAAAATTAAAGAATCAAATGCTGAAATGCACTAAGCTATCTAATAAAAAAAAAGGATATTTGTTTTCTGCTAAACATTGAAAATTATGTTCTCTTACCATTTACATGATTTAATAATATTTTTAGATTATTTATCTTAGACATTTTTATACTTTGTTTTAATAAAATGTTTAAATTTAATTTATTTAAAGTTTTAGGAACTTACTTGCATACTTGTCCTCTTGTATATTCCACTGTACATAATTATTTTGTATACAATTGTTTTTTATTTATACACACAATAATTTAAAACATTAAATAATAAACAATAAGCATTTTTTTAGTAAATGAAAATTTTTAGGTTGAAAGAACAAAAAATCGACCTCTTGTCATCAAATCATTAAGCATGTTTGATGCATGGGTGTTCTTAGCCGGTCAGTTGGGTCTCAGTCTTATCGTTTTGTTGCAGTTAAATTTGTATACTATTGTGGTCGGAGCTAGTTCATTAGGTAAGCTTAATTTTTCTCATTATTAGTTATTGTATCAGTTTGTATTAAGCTAATCTAATTATGTTTTAGTAGAATGTTATTTCAATAGTAAACTATAGAATTAAAATAAAGAAAAAAATCTTAGAAATTTATTTTTAATTTAAAAAATAATAAAGGTTTGTTATTATAATTTTTCAGATTTATACGTTTTTTTTTAAACTATATTTATGAAATATAAATAGTTGTAAAAATTAAAAGTATATTTTTCTATGTTTACAACATCAAATCAATTATTTTTAAACATTTAATGTTTTTAATAATGCACAATTTCTATTTCTATGATCAAGTGTTTTGTTATTGTATATTTTTAAATATACTATAGGCAAATTGACTATTATATATTTATATAAATGCAATATTATGTTGAAAGAACTTATTTTGGCAAACATAACAAAAATAATATATTGATAAAATTGTATATATAAACAATAACTGTGATATTATTAAAAATAATAGGTTCTAAAAGTGATATATTAGAAAATTAAATTTGTAATAAAATAATATCTATTTTTATAATTTTTAGTCTAAAATGCATTTTTAATTACATTTAATTTGCCATAATATATAAATATTTTACAAAGTACTTATATTACTTTAAATATCTGAAGAATGCAATAAAGCAAATAATACTTCTATTTAATTTTGTTTGTTTCAGTATTAGTTACATTATATCCACTTATGAAACGTATAACATATTGGCCACAATTTGTATTGGGTCTAACTTTTAATTGGGGTGCTCTATTAGGCTGGTCTGCTATCCACTCTTCAATTGACTTTACTGCCTGTCTTCCTTTGTATGCTGCTGGTGTTGCTTGGACACTTTTCTATGATACCATATATGGTCTTCAAGTGATAATTCTTATAATGCTTAAACCTTATATCTAATAATAATCAATAATTAACTAATTTATTTTTGTAGGACAGAAAAGATGACACTAAGCATGATGTTTACTCTACTGCAGTTCTGTTTGGTTCAAAATCAAAATTTTGGTTGACGTCTTTTGCCACCATATCATTGAGTAGCTTAATTACTTGTGGTGTTAATACTGGACAAATATGGCCCTATTATTTGGCAGTTGGTGCTGCTGGTGCTCATATGTTTAATCAAGTGAGTTGAATGTTATAAATAAAGTATAAATCTAATTAATAATAATAAAAAAATGTATAATTTTATGTAAATAGGTCAGGACGTTGGATATATATAATCCTAAAGATTGTAAAAATAAATTTGTGTCCAATAACCATGTTGGTTGGATTATGTTTTTGGGAATAGCATTAAGCACATTATTAAAAACACCCGATGAAAGTGAAAATGAATAAATATATAGGTATTTGATACTTATCTAATAAGTGGTAAGATTATACAATTTTTTCTTACCAAAATATGACAAAAATGTATCGTTGTTATTTTTTAAGTTATTTGATTACATGGGGGAAACTATACTTGTTTTTTACTCTTTAATTTTGTATTTTAAATTATTGTTGATATTTTGTGTATTTCATTTAAGTTCCTAAAAAAATCAAAGGAAAATAAATAAACTAGTCACAATTATAAACTGCTATATTTTATTATATTTTTTTCAATAATTTTTACCTAAACCTATATACAACAAATTGAATATCTCAATTCACAATTCCTTTTTCTCTATCTGATTTCATTTCTGCTAACATCCTTTGTCTTACTAGAGCTTGATGTTGTATTGCTTCTTGGTTATTTTTTAGACGCTTGGCTTTTCGCTGAAAATTTAAAGTTTTTATGAATAAATAGTTAAAAATATTATACTACTTTATCAATATTAATAATAATTAAAAAAAAATAATAATAAGAAAAAAATTATTAGACATCAATAAAAAATATTTTTATTTTGTACTGTTTACATCTCCAAATGGCTATTTTTAAGTTTGGCAAAATTTTAATACTCTATCCAGCATGCGATAATACTAACTCTGTGCATCCTACTCAAAATTGTCATCAAAACCAGTTGCATATGGGATAGTGAAGAACAAGATTTTTATCGGATTGATACAAGTTTTCTCACTGAATATTTTTATTAACCTCACAATTCGAACTTTATTCATTCAAAAAATAATATTTTAATATTTAATTTAATTTGTAATATATTTAAAAAAAAAGTTGTTTTATTTTGACTGGAAGTTATGTAAAAAAATTTTTTCAAAAACGATGTATTTTGAATAAATTAGTAGTTCATGATAAAAAAAATCAGTCTGTATATTGATGGTATACTATTGTCCATTTACAAAATTTAAATAGATTAAGCTATCAAAAATAAACCAAACTATAATCAATAGGTACAACTTTAAACTAAATTCTTAAAAATACATTTTATTATCTATTTTATAAAATATTATGACATAGTTATTTAGATATAAAAAAAATCAAACAATATTTCTTATTTAGTAAGTATATAATATAAAAAAAAATTAACACTAGTATAAAGTAATTATTATTCTGGTTATTGATATAAAGGTCTATAGAATAATTATAAATAATTTACCTCCAAATGAAAACAGTGAACCATTCGATCATAAGCTTTATCACATCTGCCAACAAATCTCAAAACTTTATGCTGTAATTCAAATCCAAATAATCGAATTGCTTAGTTCAATATTATTCATGTTAATAGTTTCTTACCTCTATATTACAGTTTTTAAATTCCATGGTTAAGTCATTACATTCATCAGTGTGCAAGTGTGGTGACAAATCAGGATGCATATTTTAGATTGTTCTTAATTTTATTAGAAAAACAATAGTTGCCTAATTGAATTTATTTGTTTTTATATATTTACAACTGATTCTATGGTAATTAAAAATTATTCAACATTCTAAATACCTGAATTAAACGAAAATAAACTCATTTTAATCACTAAAAACATGATTACACAATTTACTGCAATGAGTGTACCATGAAGACTAGAGATAAGGACGCCAAACTCTGCTGTTCGCCTGCACAAAATTTGGTTCTATAAAACATAGCACACTAATTTCTCCACCAGTCTGCGTGACGGTCAAATCCGAGGCTGGCTGGAGTATAATTAACCCGTATTAGATAGGGACATACTTGATTTTATTACCTTTAAAAAATTATAATTAAAAAACTAAAAATCGTATTAAAATTATAATTACACCATCATATTTAGCGCAAATTTATCTTTAAGAATAAATTACAAAAAAAATATTAATATTCTGTATTTACGTTATACATTTTGTTTTTAAATTAAGTAGATATTAATTAGGTATTTATAAAGACAATAAATGTGTTAAACTGGTGCAATGGTGCATATTATTTTGTAGTAGTAGATATATATTTAGACACCGATTGATTCACAAAATTGAGGAAATATTGATAAAAAAGTTGATAAATGATTGCATTAAAAAAGTTCATAAGTTTATTATTTGTCAAGAGATGTTAATGCTTCTAAATAATATTATTGGGTAATAATTTAACTAATTTTAATAATGTGTATGTGTTTTATTGTAAAAAGAGCCAGCTATAAAGATACCATGGCTAGTAAGGAAAAAACAAAAAAAAAAAACAGGAAAGTATCCAAACTATAAAAAATAATAATTATGTAAACGTACATCTTATCCTTTTATATATACATTTATTATGTAAATACAGTATACTACTATATTTTTGTTGTAATTTATTCTTAAAGATAAATTCGCGCTGAATACAAAGGTGTAGTTGTAATTTAAATACGATTTTTAGTTTTTTAGTTATAATTTTTTAAAGGTAATAAAATCAAGTATACTCCTATCTAATACGGGTTAATTATACTCCAAGCCAGCCTCGGATTTGACCGCCACGCAGTCTGGTGGAGAAATTAGAGTGCTATGTTTTACGGGACGGTTTTTGTGGTAGAGTTTGGCCTCCTTATCTCTAGTCTTCGTGGTATAATGTATCAATCGTATATATACTATTGACTGAAAAAAATTTTAAATTTTTTAAATTTAACGAAGCAATAAGATTACACCCATGACGCTATCTATCTAGTGTTTTAATCGACTTTTTAAAGAAATATTCAATAAAACACACTTAAACGTGTTAAACTCGTGTTAAAAATCTGTAAACTTTGTTGTTGATTTTTTTTTTTAAGTGCGGAAAAAACTATATTTAATCCTAAATAAACCAAGGTAGGCTATAAGTGAATCAATCAGTTTTGTGCACAAATTTAGATACACTGATTTCACCGTGAATTAAGGTGCACTTAAACCGAATTTACTGTTATAATTTAAAACTTTTGAAATTAATTTTAGAAAAAAGTGGTGTTTTACAGTATTTTTGTATGACATTATTGCATAGAATAATATAAGAATGATAAGCTAATAACCATGTAGTTGATGCTTAAATAATATATAAAAAAAAAAAAATTATAACATTAAATAATTTGTTTTTTACTTTGCCCCAAAAAAAAATTGGCATTTTACATAATGCCTAGGTATTTAAAAAAATACCTAAATTATATGTAAAATAATATTGAAAATCCTAAGTTTTATTTACATTCACTAAAACCGGTCGGCAATATGCATAATACCTAGTCATTTTGCAAAATACCTGAATTATCCATAATGCCGGTAACATATATATTATATAATGATAACTATTGATATATTTTAATTTTTGTTTATTTTTTTTTTCTGGTACCAAAATCGGACACATACTACTAGTTAATTATTAGTGAGAATTAACGTATTGAACGTTTTTGTACAGATTTCGTACTGTTACTACGATGTCATTAAAATGACCTACTGAGGATTTACCACTGCTGATCGTCGTAATATTATGATCATAAATTCAAATTGAAAACTAAAAAACGCATAGATATAATACTTTAATATAATAATTTAGCGCATTGTCCGGTGAGTGGCAGAAATGTGCCGATTTTCCCAAGATTATGCAAAACGTATAATGGTAATTTAATCCTTGTCGTCTGCAAGTTAGGTTAGGTTTTATGAATTTTCATCACTAGATAGCGATATCGTATACGAATTTTGTTTTTATTAAGTTTTTCACATTTTTTACTCTTGAAATCTATAAATTTTTAATTAATAAATTATAGTTAAGATTATATTTTTATCTTTCTAGATTTTGCTTGTTTAATGTAGAACAATGTAGAGAATTCTGTATACTACAGTGTTTCAACATTTTAAATTGATCAATTAGAGACTTCCTCATGTATATTGACTTACCTATTGTGTACCTACTATGTTATAGCATATCATATTAAATAGATACTATGAATTTATTCATAAATTTCATCTACATTATTATTATTTGACTTTATTGGATGTGCTATTTTTTTTATTATTTTACAACAATTAACAAGTTCTATCATTATTACTTATTAGTTAATTAAGCTAAGAACATATAGGTACTTACTAGCTTAGGTAGATATACCGTATAGATGTCAACTATTGATGAAAAAGAATGTAAATAGTATGTAGTAGCATAGATTAAATATAGTTAAATATATTATATTATATTTAATCTATGGTACCTAGTACTTAGTAAGTACAATGGTTATTCTTGTCTTGGTTTATTTTATTTGTAATAAGTTATAAATTATTAGTAACTACCTACCTGCTATAATATAGCTAGTAAGAAATGACTAACAAGTAGGTACCTACTCAGTCAAGCTATATGTCATTATTTGTGTCATATACTCATATAATTTCTATTTTGTACCTATCTTATTTAATTTCCTAGTTCCCATTTAATATCTACAACTAGCAGTGGCGGCGCGTTAGGGTAGACAATGAGACATAGTCTTCCCAAAAATCCCAAAAATATAAAACAATTTAATTAAAAAAATTAGTTATTTATTATATGATATTATACCTACTATATAAGTATTTTATTTGTTCATAATTTTATAAATAAAATGTTATTTACACTGATTCGTCTCTACAATGTCTGTGTGAGTAACGACTAACGAGTATGACTAAATAATAAATATAATATATAGTATAATTTTATTTATATCTTATCAATAATTATGTAATCGCTCCGTTGTCGCCGTCAAATCGGTCGAGACATATTGAATTGTGTCTCACTATTGATGACGAGGGCTTATGACATGGTAAACGGGGACGTAGTGGGGTATTACCAAAATTATATGCATGGACGAGACATGTCTCAACGTAATATTTTAGTAATTTAATTGCACATTTGCATTCCGATTGTGGTTAATGGCACACGTTTAATGTTTATCATTTTTTCTTAATGAAGTGATATACATTTAAAACTTAATATGTCAGATATTATTGATATTATTTTAAATAAAGGTCTTGGTTCTTTTTCGCAACAAAACAAAATCGGCGAATTAATTTAAATTATATTCAAATATAGTTATTTTATGTAATTTACTTTTTTTTATGATGATCTAATTTTTAAATAAATTTTATATAACACCATATTATCTTTGGTTGTCTTGTTGTCTACCCTACGAAATTGTTCACGCGCCGCCACTGACAACTAGTAATTCTTTAAGGCTTAGAGTCTAAGCTATAAACCACAAGCCTTAATTTTGTTAGTCGTTTAGACATTATAAACTATTTTTTTATCATTATGAGTATTTATTTTTTATGATGTGAAAATTATAAAGGCATTAATTATGTGCAATGTAATAGAAAAATATTCTATTTTCAAAAAATAATAGAAATCATGTGTATTAAACATTTATCATGAATGAAGAGCTTACTAATGAATTTAACATCTCTAAAGTTGTTACTACATTCGATTAAGTACCAACATGTTCAGTAATTAGTACCAAAGTCAGCATATTTAATTTTCATAAATAATCTAGTTACCTAACCTATTTTATCTTCCTATAATCGTAAAAATTGGATAATATAAAAGAGGTATAATCGAATTTATAAGCGTATGTATAGTGTATACTTAACTGGGTAAGTATTTAGTACCTAGTAAGTGGGTTAGAACCTACTTACCTATATCACCATAATTATATGTGTACCTTTGTATTGTTGTAACAATAATTATATAATATATTTTTATATATTTCTTATAAAATTATTATTAAAAAGTTTTGATAAAATCAATTATTATTTGGCAGACACACAATTGTACAAAATTAAATTGAATAATAGATATTCAATGTGCCGAGCAAATTGAAAAACTACTTTTGACGTACCTATTGTCAGAACTGATATCTAATGTAATTATGCAAGAGCTGATTTGGTTGTCAAATGACTACTTCCTACTTCCTAGGTATCTTTTATTTTATTTATTTTATTTTTGGTGGTATATAACACTGAATGCAAATTGAATTGGTTTTGCATATTTTCTTCCAGGTTTAAACTTTATTATATTACTTAGTTATAGCCTTAGTCTACATACATATCTAAACATGTATGATATATATCAATTATCTGGCACCTAATTTTTTTAATATAATATTTCATATAATTTATTTTTGTAGTTTTTGAACCAATCGATTTTGGGTATATTAATTTACTCAATATATAATATATATATATATATATATATAAATACGAATTAAACAAAATGGTATCATGTATATGTGTAGTATATATTTTATATTTAAAAAATTTAATAGGTACTAGAGTAAAATCCTAATTAATGTTAAAATAGTAGATTTATATTTTTTAATGTAAGTAGGTATACACATTTAAATTTTTTAAATTACTTTAAAGTGTCAAAAGCTTTATTTTAATTTTTCAATCTATAATTTTTATTAGTAATAAAAACAATAAGTAATTTAATTAGGTGAATCTTATTTTTTTTGTATTTAAATAAATTCTAGATGGAATTCATTGAAAATCTATGGTAATATAAATATTAATTTAAATCAAACCACGGTGAGAATAATAACAGTTATTTAAAATAGCATCACGTAGGTACATATTTTATTTGTTTTTATATTATTAAATTATTCACAACATTCTGGGAATAGTGTGGAAATAATAATGCTGGACCAGTGTATTTGTTATGATGTGCTTGGGTCAGTAAAATACTGCACAGTGGAAACTGGAAAGGGCAGTCGGGAGCGATTTGAAAAATGAATACCGTTATTTTTCAACGGGCTGTATTATAGCAGTGAACGTCAAATATAACGTTGAGAAAGTCATTGAGTCGGATTTGTGAGTGGGTCATTTTGCTCGGCCCTCGAAGGGCACGCATAAAATATATTATAAGATTTTATTTTTCAAACGGACCCGTGAAAGTATTGTGTTAAGTCGAAAAGCTTCTCCTCTCATGTCCAACCACTAGAATATTGAACGCGTGTATTCTGTATAGTATAATATTATAAATATACACCCATAAAAGTATAAAACGATATGCGTTCGTTGTGTTGAGACGCAGACGTGTATGATGGCAAACAGAAATATGCAGTGCATTATAGTGTGTTACGGCGGTCTAAGAAGGGAAATAATAACATTTTCTTCAGAATTATGTGGGAAAAACAAACCTTATTGCTGCACGGTAGGGGAATGATTCTAAATTTAAATACACAATTTTGGCAAGCTGTGTCGGACGGTGGGAACACCATTTGTTTAGGGACCCAGACAGATGGACCATTTTATTTCTGGATCGACGACGACCGGCCATTTTGCTATAGCCACACGCGCACTCTTTATAACCACTATAAATATTATCATATTATTATAACAGTTACCGTCACAAAAATCTCGGCCCGCCGCAAGGAATAATAAAAATAACATGTTTGTGCGCACCGATTTTTAACGACGTATCATTATTAAAATATTATTATGTAAAAACAATTCGTCACGTAGGTGACTTTTAAATTTTTGTTTTTTGGTTAACGGAAATTACACGTTGATCTCGTGAACATGTTGATGGATGTTGATTTTGACGATGATACGCCAAATCGATGCACTACACTCGTTTACTATGCATGGAAAATATTCACGTGCTTGTTCCTGCACGTGTTACTCGTCACTATGGTCGTGCTGTATTGTTTGCTCGGGGCCTTTGCTTTTGAACGTCTGGAATCAGCAAATGAAATTGAAGTAAGTTTAATTAAAAACATTGTTTAATAATCATGGTTCATAACTTCTAGCATTTACGTATTTTTTTTAAGGGACCCTAGAGATGCCCGCGTGAGTTTTAAATTTATTTCAGAAAATCAAAAAGCTATTTACGAAATTTACATTTGCATATTTCTAAGTTTAAACTATAACTTTTTAAAGTATATTTCAGTACAGTATAGCCTTTAAAACGTATTTTTTCTTAATAATGAGAAGCGAGAACAATTTAAATACTCTTGAGTACCTAACCTATTCTTCTTCTTATGATCAACATGGGGTATGAGGCTTCGCGGCCAGCTCTGATCAACATTTGCAACAATTATACTGGTTTCCTAATTTCCTATTATCGATGAAATTATCAAATTGCCGGCAGTACATTCTAGACAAGTCGCAAATAAAGATAAGAAAACCACTAAAATTGTAGTAAATTGACTAGTATTTTATTTATCTATATAGTTTCTATAGGTATTCTGATATCAATATTTTTATTAATTTTGAAAACAGATAATTACTTAATACTTAAAATCTATCAGCTTTTGATTTTTCGAATTATTTACATGGTCAATTATTTCGTACACTCGCAGCTTAATTTTTTTTTTTATAGTAATTAAAGAAAAACAATCCGTTTTGAGCCGTCTTTAAAATATTGTTCATAAATTTGGTGAATGTTTTTTTTTTGCATATTTTAGCATTTTTGGTACATATTTAAGAGTTTATACTATGAATGTTTTTAACAGCATTTTATAACGCTTATAACAATCTTTTTAGAGCTAAAAGTTATGAGCTCTGTTAATAATAATAATAATAATAATAATAATAATATTATACTTAAATATTTTTAAGTGATTTATGTTTATTATAAGTATTAATTATTAAGAGTTTATGATAATGACGTATCAAACGAAAAAGATAGGTATTTATTTTATTATTTTATTCATTTATTAGTTTCAAATTAAATATGATACGATTCTTTTAAATAGTATAAAAAATAATCGTACTGACTTATAATAGTTTGCATTTGAATATAAACATGAATTAAACTTCAATTTTTGTATTGTAATGTTTAATTTTTTTTTTTTTTAAAAGAACTTAAACAAAGAAAAATACCTATTTTTTTTTAAAATTTCAAATTATGTAATAATTTTATTTAAAAAAAGTTAATACCTTTCGAGATAATGAGTGTTTTTTGTTAAAATAATCGTTTGTACTTGAGGATGAGAAATCTCTAATTTTTTTTTTTTTTAGTTTATATTTATAAATGTCGATTAAAATTATTTGCTGGGTAGAAATATACTTTAAAATGGTATATATAAAGCTTCTCTTAAAATATTAATTTCTCAATTAAAAAATTTTGAAAATCTATTATTAAAATATTTTTTATTAGCGTTTTAAGTTAAATTTTAACAAAGTTCATAAAAATCGTAAAAAATAATTATTTTGTAGTTAGAATTTCATTTTTTTTGTTTTTTTAACTAAGATTTAAAAATTGAATGCAAGTTTCTTCACTAGTTTTTCAACCTAAATAGGTTTTATATATATTTTATAAAGTTCTATTGAAAAGTCAAATTCATTTTTTATGAGCATTTCAAGTTCAAATGCTTACATATGTTTAAATTATAATTTTCATTATTTGATAAAATTTTCAATTTTTTAAAACTCTTTTTAAGTTATTTATAGGCATGAAAAACTTAAATTTTTTTTTAAATTTTTTTTTTCTATAAATGTCAATAAAAAATTATTTTTTGGGGTAAAATTCTTGAAAATTGAATACAATATCTCATAAAAGTTATTCTTATGTTTACATTAAGTTATTAAAAATGCATAGGCACAAAATATTTTGTTGTTAAAAATGTATAAACACTTTCCTTTTTGTATTCAAGTTTTGAAAATTTTATATAAAATTCTTCATAAGTACCTAATTTATATAGAAATCATAAAATTTAAAAAATGTATCTGAACAATTTTTATTTTTTATAAACAAAATTTTAAGTTCCAATCAAGACGGGATTACTTATTTAAACGATAAATAATGATATGTCAATTATTTTGCTATAATTTAAAAGCATAACTGGCGGGAACTTAAAACTTTATGCATTTTATATTACTATGAATTTTACGATACACAATAACATTTTTAATTTACTTTACAATATTGTTTAAAAATGTATTATTACTGTTTAATGGCATTTACAGAAATATGTTAGTAATTTTGTGTTTTTATGTTGATATAATATAGTATAAATATATACGAGTATTATTATAATAATAAAATATTAATAATATAACAAATGCAATATTTTCGGAAAAAATAATATTAACTTACCATAATATTAAAAGTAAAATAAATTACTTTATTAGCTATTTCAAAAAAACCGAATCCGGACATTTCGCCACGACCGTTTCACTGTTGGAATGTTTGCCACAACTGTTTCGCTGTGAAGAGAATCCCCCACAATTTATTAATAATACCAATAATGTACTTATACATAATTATTACATATTATACAACAATACTAAATTACTACAATTATGATATATTTTTAAATCTCGCCACCAACGTCACCCGAAATTTTATATGCGTTCGTCCCTAATTTACACACCTTGAGTGTGAAATATCAATTTTGATACGTTCCTTAATTAAAATCAAGTACTTATTATCACCACTACAGTGGAATTTTCAGCTTTAATTTCCGTGTGTGCATAAATATGCAGTTCATTGGCGTGCGCACGGAGTATACGTTTACTTATTGTTGGGAAGATGTTTTTTTTAGAGTACCTATATTATACGAACAGAGTTTCGTAAAGACGTAAAATAACACTTTTGGGGAAAAAAATAACAACATATTTTGTAGGTACGAGTTTTAATAATCTATTTTAATATCATGGAATTATTGTATGTTTTTCGTTTTTAATAAATACGTTTTTAAAGAAATATATTTATAATTTTCAACATAGAAAAAAAATATTAAATACCTATTATTTCTTAGGTAATAAAAATGGTTGTCATAAATATTTAGGTAACTCAATACCAGTCTACTCGCACCTATAGTGCAGCTACATTGTAGGGTTTTAATAGAAATTTAATAACATTTTATAGCTAATAGTACTTTTTCTTATACGCAAGTAGGTATATGTAACAAGTATGAAAATAGCTGAATTTTGGATTTAGACCCTGCAAAAATTTGATTGTAGGTACTACGAAAGAAATTATCAAATAATATATGTTGTTCCTAATAAAGCAATTAGGTTAAATAATTAAAGCTGAGTTATAGCAATGTAAAAAATTAAAATTTTAAAATATTTATAATTAACTTCAAAATTAAAATATCATTAAAAACCTAGGTGATTATCTGGATAATATTATTGTCTTTTAGTTTGATAATAGGTCATTTTATTGTAATGTTAAAACTAACAGTATAAAATAGATTTTGCTTAACACAAATTTGTTATATTGTACGTTAGTAAGATGGAGATAAGATATGCGGATACAGCGTCCTCTTGTAACAGTTGACCCACTTGACATCTAATATTCAGCCAAGCGATACCCACTTAGTACTTACCTACCTTTTTTTTATTATAAAATTATTACTAAAGACAGTTGTGTATATAAATTTAGCAATACGAGTATGTATTACAAAAATGACGTATTCACTATTTCCAAACTTCTTTAAAGTTACTAAAAGCTTACAAAAAAATTGTCACTGTGTATTTTTTTTCAAATCTATTCAAAACTATTTTGATTTTATCTCCAAGATTATCATAAAATGTACCACAAAATGTCCATTTTTAGAATAGTGGGTTTTTGAATAGTAACTTCTTTATTGTTACAATGGTAACATACATAAAATTCAATATATTATTCGAATGAGATTTTTACATGATGTAGTTAGGAATCATATTAGTATTCATGGATAACATTTTTACGATTTAGGATTTCGTTTTTAGAAATAACCGAAATATTATTCACTGTCATTGAAATCTAAAATACATTTCATTTCATTTTTAAAAATAGGTATTGAAATGTCAAAAAATTTCATCTTTAATATTAAATTGTCATGACAAATAAGTATATTTTCTGATTGATTGTTAATTTTTATGAAAAATTTAAAATTAATAGCTTAAATTTTTATTGGTTTGTAATTATTAATTATTTCTAATTATATATATTATACGTATAATAAAATAAACTATAAAAAGTAAAAATAAAGGTAAACTATTATTGTCGTAGTTTTGGCATTAATAGCACCATAAATATTATGCTCCACAGTTAAATTGTTTACATTTTTAAATGTAAATAATACCTAATTTAAACTTTCACAAATTTTTAAATTTTGTAATGTTTATTATTAAAGTGGATTGTCAATTTTATATTCATTAATTTTGCTATACAAATTTAATCAATTTTGTTAATATTAGAAAACAAGTATATAAATATTGACCATACTGATGCATCAAATATTAAAATTATACCTTTCATTAATTACTTTTACATAATTTTAATGATTTATTTATTAAATTAAATAAAAGGTTATTTTTTTACAGTTAATCAAAACAAATTATACCTACACCATTTTCTTATAATTTTTCGTAATTATTATGGCTTAATAAATAATAATTATAATTTATTAATATAACTATCAGATAAATCGTTTATAATACATATACATGTAAATATTTATTGTTATTTGTATTACTATAAACACAATAAATACAGATCATTAAATAATAATAGATTATATTAAAAGTATAATTAATTGAAAGTGTTTTCAATAAACATTTAAGTTATATAAAAATAAAACGAAAGATCTATAGTTGGAATTTACACTGTTTTATTATTTGATTAGTTAAAATTTAAATACGAAAAAGTTAAAAGTACAATAAGTTTTAATATGGTATCTATTCAATATTCATTCTAACTAAGAGTATAAAATTGGATAACTCCATTTTGTTAAACAAACTTTTTATGGTATAGTGTCATACCTATTTCTGCCGCTATGCATTTGTTTAAAGAAACGATCAAGTATTAATTTTGTGTATTTAATCTTACTAAGTACTAAACAAAATAATTATGATCTATACAGTAGATCTTTGATATTCCAGACAAATTCAGACTGAGCATCGTACGGATTACCTGAGGATTTTCAAAATAACCTACTTTAATGATTAAGATTTTTATTTTTAATTCATTACCTTTATATTTATTGCACTTTAAATTACAAAAATGATAAATAACTTTAACACAATGAATTGAAAAAAAAAATGTTTATAATAATAGAACTTAAGTATAGCAAGTAGTCAGTAATTTTTTTTTTGAATAATACTTTTATTTCCGAACAAACTACAAATACATTTACGAACAAATGTTCTTATGATGTCCGGATTACAGCGTCCACCGGATTATTGGGGGTTCGGACTATTGAGGCTCTACTGTATACTTATTACTTATATATAAATACACAATATAAATAATTATATATTATTTAATTTATATATTAATATGCTTTAATAACAGTAGTTATTAATTAGTGATTGTAGTATAAAAGTTTAATGTATTATTCTTTTTACTTTACTGTATTAGTGATGCATTAAAGAAATGTGTTGAATCGGTTTCCTCTTCATAATAAATTTTATCTGTACAGTATTAAAATTGTCAATTAAACATAAATTAATTTAAAATGAGCATTACCTACCATTAAATAAAATAAACGAAATTATTGATTTACACGTGATATGAATGTAGAGCTTTTATGATAAATCGGGAAAAAATTAAATAACGGTATGAGGAGAAGATTAAAATACATAAATACAGTAAAAAAAAAAAACCATATTTTTACCGCTAACAAACTAAAAAAATAAAACAGGAAGATATAGGATACTTATATTCTTGTTAATAGGTGTACAAAAAGTGCCACTCAGCATAATTGGTTTCTCCTAGAATTCGCCCTCCCCCCGTGTACATAATAATAATAGTATTATATAAAGAGATTTTAAAACATTAATCTCTGTGATTTTTTATGCCTAAATTTAATTTAAGAACTCATCGATCATGCAACTATTTTATCGAGGTTGTCACAAACTTATACACATATATATTGTACAGTAAAACAACAATTTGATGTTTTCATGAAAATATAATTTCATGAAGTGAAAACTGTTTTTTACACTTAGTAAAATATGAAAATATTTCATGAAATGGTCAGTCTAATTTATCGTCATAATTTTTTTTTTCAAAATGAGGCTCTTCACTTAATATAATAAAATAAAATATTTATACAATAATAAATAGTTTCCATGTGGACCATCAGACCCTGTTCGCGTGACTGCTGTCATTGTTAAAGATGAAAATGAAATGAGAGTAGAAACTTCAAACTACACACAGTATTATTAACGGTTGATTCAATTTTAATTTAGCTGAACTGAATGAAAAAAATAATTAACTTTGCGTAAAATTGCGATTCATATCAGCTTATAAATTATTTTTATTAAAGTGCTTATCAAATCAAATTATGTGTTATTTTTAAAGAGAATTTTAAATGTAACAGTCGTTATCATGACCACAGGCGCTAGGTTTTAAAAATGTCATGGGGGCTCATTGTTTTATAAATACTTGTACATTAAATACTTTTAATAGTATTAGTATCGTAAAAAATCACAATATAAAAATTTAAAAAATGACAATTTATTTTTGAAAGTTACATGTTTTATAAATAAGATGTATTTTTCTGCACTTTGAAATTGTTTATGAATTGGTTTGCAACCGTTTCTAAATTTATTTCTTCATCACGGTGAACACGAAGAATAGAAATATCAATCAATCGTGTATTGATATCAAACCATTATCATAACATACATATAACGATATATCATTAATCAGACGTTTATCAATTATTAATACCGAAAAAACGTTTATCTTTCTCAATTAATTTACTATCGATAAAATTAGTATTTGGTGGATGTTTTTTAATATGAGAACCACGGGAGCTTTATCAAGTTCACGGGAAACTACAAACTTCGAGTCCCCTATGCATGGCGCTCCTGGTCATAACTCATTTTTTGTTCAAATAAATAATATAGTATTGTCATAAATAAATAGTTAGTAAATACTTTAAATTAATAATAATTAAACAATGGCTCATTATTAATTTATAGATAATAAAACTTGATGTATGCGATAAATGTTTTACTTTAATATACAAAGTGAATAACCCATAGGTAGTAAAAAAAAAAAAACTAAGTAATGTTAAATTAAAGAGTCATTTCATAAAAATGTGACCATTTTATTAAATCTTTTTATTTTTACAAAGTGTAATAAAGTCGTTTTCACTTTATGAAAAGATCGATTTCACAAAACGGTTACGATTTTATGATATATATATGATAAGCAGTGCTGTATCTAGAGGTTGGCGATGTGAGCGCTTGCCAAGGGTGCAGTAAAGTAAGCGGCGCACCTGAGTTAAATAAAAATTGGTGTTTTTTTTTTTTTGTAACTTTTTTTTCTTATAAATTATTTAAAGCTTTTTTAAAATCAAGCGTAAATATGTTATCCACAAAGATTACATACTGGATTGCATCTTGATGATGTTTATTTACTAGTGTTTACTACTTATACATTTATATTAAATATTTTATTTTTCCATGTATGAAACGTATAGTCATATCACTCATATCTACACGAACGACGAATGGCTATAATAATGATTACCACAAACGATCGATTTTCCCGACTAAGATTTAACTAATATGATGGCATATACCCAACTTTAACTATAATAGGTATCTATACAGAACAGAGATTTAAGTTTATTTTTATATTAGTACACTATACTTACGGGCTACGTTTCTCGGTAGTCGTCAGTCAGCTCTAAGAATTTTCTTACTCTTCTAGTGACCATGGATGGAGTTTTAGTAAGTTAAAAATTATAAAAAACTATCTACGCTTAACGTTAGGATAGGAACGTTTTACAGATTTGGGAATATTGTCAATTGAATTTGAAACGAACAATTCAATCAACCATGACGATATTATAAACAATTTCGCAGCAAAAAAGGCTAGAAAGATAAAATTGTAATATTAGTTACAATGATTTATTGTAAATTGTAATACCTATCCTATTCTATATTATAAAACATTAAATTTATTTGGTTTTTTTTTCGTAAATTAAGACTTAAATAATTATTAATAATTTAGTTTAACTCATTAACTATATAAAGACTCGGTTATTTAAAAAATATGGTAGTATTTTGATTAACACGTAGGAATGTAATATTATTATATTTGTATAAAAATTATAGATACCTATGAAATAAAATAATAATAAACTCTAAAATAAAATTCACCAAGGGCGCCACGGAGGGTAGTTACGGCACTGAATTGATAAGTAGTTGAAAAATGTTTCGATTTTGAACTTTGACATTGATTTTTGATAGCTAATTGGATCTATATAGTTTGTATTTTAAAGATATTATAATTAAAAATTCCTAGTATTTTTTTTAAATAAACACGAAAAATTAATTTATGAATATTTATGCAAAACCAGTTTTTGCAAAATCGATTTTGTTTTTATTTTTATGCAAATTTAAAACAAATAACTACAAATACTTGAAAGTTTTACCAAATTTTTATGTCAGCGTTTCCTACGCTTATATAATTTTCAATGGCTATATTATTAAAATCACTTGTAAAAGGTGACTTGTTTTTGTAATGTATTTGTTATGTACTTACAGATATTATAATGTAGTAGAGTGCTATAGTTTCATTATGCACTACAAGAATTTCTATAGGATAATTACATATGATCACATATAATTGTGTAAATAAATGTATAATTAAAACATAAAAATCACGTGATTTAATAACCTCTATGCATTTTTTATGAAAATAAATTATTACTAATGAAATTTTGATAGAGTATGTTAAACAAAATATATACCTAATATGTACCTAATAAATTCTCTTATTTGATACTGAATAAAAACCACTATCATTATTAATTACTTACAATCTCTAATAAATTAGATATTAGATATTAAACGAGATACTAGCGTTTAGTTTACATATGGTACTTTTCTTACTGAAATCACAGTACATTGTTGTTATTAATCACAATATATGTCAGAAGATGCAGTTATGTGTGTATATAGTAGATAGTATATAAATAGGACATAAATTCAAATTTTTGAAGTTCAAACTCTAGAAAATAACATCAAACTGTTTATATTAGTAGGTAATATAATTAAATGTTTTCATATTATTTAACATTGTTCAAAGGTGAAAAATAGTATTCGTGTAATGAGGATGAATGTAACTACGGATCTTTGGAAATACACCAAAAATTCATTGGTGCTTCAACAAGATAATTTTACAACAAACGTAACAGCCCGGTTGCAGAAATTTGAAGACGATTTGATTTACGCAATGAAGCGTAAAGGTTGGGATGGCGAAGAAGACACTAAAATACAACAATGGACTTTCACTGGGGCTTTATTTTACTCAATAATTGTTATTACAACTATAGGTGAGTACTCATGGTTATAATTATTTAAATATATATTTTTAGTATTAATATAATTATACGTACAAGGTACCTATATAAATATATAATATATAATACAAGTATAATATTCTTTTATGATGTATATTTATATAGGAAATTATCTCTATAAATAAAATAACATTTTATAAATAACATAAATTTCTAAATTTTAATCATTTAATTGATATTTTTAGTTATCCTTAGATGTGTTTGCTTACAGTTAAAAAATTATTTTTAATTTTAATGTTAATGTATAGTTTTTTAGACATATTTTAAAATATCCTTTATATACAAGCAGGTTAATGATTTAATGATCGAAAAGAGTTCATCTGTTTCATTAAAAAAAAATATATGTAAGAACAATTATTTATATCCTATAAATCTTAATATATTAGACAATTTTAAAAATTCCGGTCATTAAAATGTATAATGATTATATAAATAATTATTTGAAAAAGTTGATTGAATTTATTCTTGAATATTTCAATACGTTGATTGCTAATTAAATGTTTGTTCAATATATAAAATATTTACATTTGTCAAATAGATAACATTGTTTTTTATATGTAGAATTAGTATTAAACAGAAACCAAACTAATTTTATATAAATTTAAGGAATTATGATGAATCTATACTGTTAACATAAATTATATATAAAAAAAAGTCCTGCATAGTTGTATATTTAGTTTGGAATTAGTTTCAATTTTGAGTTTTTACATACATATTTCTTTATTCTATTGTATTCTTTTCATATTTGATATCTAATATAACATACGATCAAACTATTATAGTACATATGTCAAATAAGTATCTTTTAAAAAATCAGTACTTTAATATAATGGTTATATAAAGTTAAAAGTAATATATACTTAACTTAATTAAATGTGGAATTAGTTAAATAGGTACTCTCCAAGTTCACACCTTTATTAGATTAATTTTTTATTTAAGGAATTAATATAATTTATGTACCAAATGCATGATAAGGTAGGTAAATAAAAAGTCAGGGAAGATATTATGTAAGCTCAAGATTTCTTTTTTATCAAGTTATTAAAAATATTTTGATGAACAAAGTTCACATTTTGTACTATAGATCATGATTAATAAAAGTATGTCAACATATTAAATCAAACTTTGAATTAACTTCTTTTATGTTACTTATGAGTTATGACAACTTTTAAAATTGTGGGAGTAAAATAAAAATAACATAACCATCAGCTATTGATCTTATGAACTCTTAAAATGGATTATAATTAAAGTCATAAATGCAATAACTTTTTAAAAACTAGATTCTAATTTAATTTATTTTATTTGTATGCATTTTAATTAGATTGTTATAAATATTTGTAATGTTTAAATGCATTATAAAACATTTTTTTTTTTTTTGTATCTTTAATCATTTTATTTTTTTAATTAATTTAATATAAATATTTAAAAAACGAAAAATGGTCATATTTATTATAACACTCAATCTGTCTTAAGTGGAGAGAATTAATAACACTTATTAGTCACAAAAAGAAAAAGAACAGAAAAAATTACCTACTGTTTCAACGAAGCATATTTAATTTCATTTTATATTTAAACCTGAATAAATATCCAAAATAGATTTTTTTATAAATCAGACAGATTGAATTTCTTTTAGTAGCTATTTTATAATTCTACATTAAATTATCTTTCCTTGTAGACAAATTGAGATTTATGAGTTTTTATTTTTTTATTATTAAAATTAATTAGAATATTTTTTTTAAATTTAAAATAAGCTTTGTCAACAGTGGCCATAGTGATAAATATACATACTTTAATTGGTTAATTATAAATATCATGAAAATTAATTAACGGTTATCAAATATCATAATATCTAAGAGGTTAAGGTATATTAAATTTGGTCGAGTAGATTGACTGCAATAATGGATTTTATATTGTGAGAGGTTGAGAGAGATAGAATCACGATTTTGATAGAGCAATTTGGTCCAAGATTCGGAATGTCAAGAATTTTGTTTTGTTTGGTTATATGTGCAGCATTCGTTGATAATAATATGTTAAATATTAATTTGAAATACGCAATAGGTGCATATATTTTTTTTATTTTTATCATTATATTTTTGATTAAACTTGATAGTATAAATTAATTTATTAAAACTTTATTAGTCATTTTTAATCTAGAAATATAGGTAAAAGATTTTCTCTTCTCTTGATCTATTTGGTATATTATATTATGCATTGAATTTTAGGCAATAGAAATTTTAAAGTCTTTATTAATGTTTTTAATCAAATTATTTTATTTAATGTAAAACAACTTTTTTCAACACCTAATTATTTTTACTACATACAGATTTAATTTGAATTTGATTGGTTTTTTATACATTTATCTATGAATAAATTTTGTGTTTGTAGAATATTATGATCTATGATGTTTGAAAAAAAAACAACCGAGAGTATGTATACTATAGTGTATTACAAGTATACATGCCCACACATATTAGAATCATTGTATACTTACTTTATATTATGTATAGAGTACTAATTATATTTTATTCTATATTCATGCTTTATGCAATTATGAAGTAGGTCTATATTTGTTATGGGTACACATAAATATATTAGTTTAATAATATACCTTATAGACGTAATATATTTTATATTTAGTTTCATAAAATAAATTCAATTTAAAACTTTGACTAATTGTAACTTATAAATAAGAGTAAATATTTTTAAAATTACTTCAAGTATCTGTAAAATGCATAATAAAAAAAAATTATTGGAATTTTGTATTAATCAATTTTGACAAAAAACAAATACTAAATTTGTAAATTATTCAAATTATATTTTGGATGTCTCATTAAAGTAATTTAAAACTTCTTAAGTTTTATTTAAAAATATATTTACTCAAATATAGAGTTATTATTTCAGTTATTGCCTACGTGCATTTAGTTTAATCAATTAATTGAAGTAACTGCGCACAAGGTTTACAATAATAATATTTTAAAGCTATATCTCTTCAGGTCAATATTGTTATTTATTAATTCGTTTACTTACTATAAAATACATTGTAAGCATTAGGACATACTAAAATCTAATAAAATCATTTACTTGAATTGCTTTCTAGGTATATAAGATAGTTTAGTAGTTGAACATTTTTTATTCGAATATTGTTTCTTGGTACGTATACTATATTTGTATAACACGATTTTTTAAAACTAACTTATTGATTCTGGTTCAAATATTTTTACAAACTTCAAACATATTTGTAATAACTCCATATATAGTAAATTTATTTTAGATCTCTAAATACCAATACAAAAAAGTGACGCTTGATAAATTGAATAAAAAATGTACAAAAAAAAATATATAATTAAATTTTTATAAATGTACAGATAATTTTACATTATTTGTATTATAATATTTTGATTAAATTAACTTAATAATTAGAAACATATTAATTATTAATTAAATAATTTTATGGTATATAGATCATTTTTTAATATAGTAATAATCAGGGAAGCAATTTATGTTTTTAATGTTCATTTTTATATACATACCAGGCACAATTTATGATGAAACAGGAAACGTGTTTCGGGTTGTTGAAAATATTTAGTGAAGTAAGGTAAATACAAAAGAAACATAGTACAATAACATTTAATAATTATTATAACATCAAACGTATTTAATGGTTTAAAAAATAATATAAAAATAATCTATAAAATAAATAAATCGGGTATCAATCATTTAAATATTAGCCAAGTTTTTAAATTTTAAATTTTAAAATTGGCTTACTTGAAACTTTTTTGATTCATAAAAACGAATATTTATATAGTTATTATAATTGGATATAATTTTAGATATGTATTTTGTATCAATTGGTCAAAATAACCTAAATAACTGTGATTCGAATCTATGCAGTTTACATTTGATAAAGTTCAAAAAGAGGTATAAATCTAATCGCGAACACAATATTACACAATTACTTCAAAACTATATTATTTAAATATAATAATAATAAATTATTATTAAATTGCATAATCGTTAATCATATTATTACTAAAATAAAAATACAAGCCAATACAATATTATTTCTCATAATGTGAATTTATAAAAGGACTACATTTTATAATAAAAATATTGTCTAATTTATAATTTTAAAGGATTGTTTCACAATATATCTTTCAATTTGATTTGAAAAATAAATGTAAGCAATTTAATTATAATAAAAATGTTTATTACGTTATCATTTATGTAAATTTAAAATAATTAATGTAATAAGAATTTGTAATATTCACTCGGAAAAATGATATTAAATGTATCATATGCTTTCCTAAATCAACTTTAATGGTTATTTTACTGATATAAAAAACAGTTGCTTAATCTGAGAGTAACATGTAACTTTAAATTCGTGAAATATATAAAAATTAACCGTGTAGCTCTTTGTGGTGAAATCAATACTAAAAAAAGAAAATGTCAAGTGCGACTTAAATTTAAGAAGAAATTCAAGTGCATTTAAATATATTTTTATTAGTACTTACAGTAGGTATTTAGCTATTATAAAAGTATTTTAATTGTTGTTTAAATGTACGAGCTTATTCTTTTATTCTATTCATAAATGCAAATTGTTTTCATAATATATATTTATACTAATTCATAGTGCATTTATAAATTATTATTAATTAACACGCTTATTTAAATATTACAATAAACCATGCAGTTAATACCTACACAAAGGTCAAAACTGTATAAATGAGTTTTTAAAACAACTAAATTACTCATATAAATGAAATAACTAAAAATTTAATATTTCCATAAGCAAAAAGTTAACATTACAGACAAGTATAGTAGACACAATAGGAACAATATGATTTATTATTTCCATGATACTATCATTTTTATCATTTTGTGTAGCCTTTAAAATATTATTTTAATACTTAAATGATTATGCATTAATTCCATTTATAATTATAAACTAAAATATTTAATTATGTGTAACTTCTGAAAATTGGATCAATCACTCGTGTACTTTTAACAGTATATATTATAAGATATAAGATGTTTGAAAATTATGTTCTGATAATTAAATTTTCAAATTATGTTACATTGTTTATTGAAAAATTAATTTTGGTCTGAGATTGTATGCTGTTATGATGTAGAAACAAGCAGTATCGGGTTAACGAATATGCTGCCTGGGGACAGATTTTAAAATTCCACCCTTTACAACTCTTGTACTCATCATAAAAACTTAAATTATATTAAAAACAACACTGTTAAAATTGTTATAATATATGCTGAAAGAAAAAAAAATGTAAGACATTGGATGGAGTAAAAGCTATTACATATGTAAAATAATGTGATCCACCCTGACCTTTTATATAAAATATACAATAAAGAAAAATGTATGAAATAAAATCGAAGTCTTAAATATGATAAATTAGGATTTTTAGAACTAGTTTTTAAGGTTTTAAAAACTTAATATAAATAAGATGACGTATGAGTTTTGACTTAACATTTTTTATTTTTATGTAATATCTACAATATATATAATTATTTTATATTCTTTACTAGAACTAATTTATAATGTTGTTATTTTGTTTTAATTATAAATATATTTTTATTTTAGACTAGTTTTAACTTTTTGTAGGAACTTTGAATTATAGGATTCTTAGAAATAATTAGTTTGTTTTTATTATTTTTTTCTTTGGCTCTTTTACGAAATCGGCACTATTTAACTTTATGTGCTTTCCACTCATATTGATTAAAAAACAAACGCTATCAGAAAACATTAAGTAAATATTAAATATTAAAAGTTTTAGTCGACCGGACTTTACAGAATTACGATTACGAAACGATATTGTAATGAAAGCAATTGCTTGGTAATGTACGAATAAATAATTTTTAATGAAATATAATATTAAAAAACATATATTTTATTATCATTTAATAATCTGATGATAATAATAAAACCATACAGCGAATACAATACACAATTATGTGTTAGTTAATAAACTTTTTGTATACAATTTACAGTCGAAAATAATACACACGAAAATAGAAGTGTGTCGGTCTATAGTGTTTTTATATGGTCTTTCCAATTATACGTTGAACACTAACTGACATAATTACTCTGCTGTAATGCTGTATACAGTAAAATATTATTATTTATTATACAAACTTTTTAATAATTAATAATTCTTCCTAAAAATTAAAATATATAAGAAAAATTAAAACTTTTGTTTTCATTGTCAAAAAACTTTGCCACTCGAAAAAACTACTCTTTTTGTCCTTTCCCCGGCACTGGAAACAGTTAAATTTAATTTTGTATATAGTGTTAATTCGACAAAAGTAGAGCAAAATCACTATGGTCACATACTTATCAAAATGCAAACACACCACACATATAAAAAGTACTAAGTGCGTATATAATACGTAAACTTATACATAAATACTTGGCTGTAGAGTTTTCACTCTCCTAAAAAAATTACCTCTGTGATTGAAAAAGTCTAATAAATTTTTTAATCGAAATTTTTTTACATTTTTCTTCAAACATAATAAATAGTTTATAACTACGACTTGAGAATTTTCAAAATACACTATAAATCCTCTATTATTTATTTATATTTTTTATTCTTATTTGTTACCAATTATTATAATTTAAAAAATGTTCTTTTATGAGAGAATAGGTTCATAATAGAATTTGAATATGTTTTATTTTATTTTGATAAATTTAGCAAAGTAAGTTAAAATTTTTGATTTATTGATTAAAGAAGATACGTTATGTATTTATTAAAAATTTTCTTCAATTTTCTGACTTTACATTTTTATAATTTTTATTTATTTTTTACATTAACAATTTGATTTTGTATTATTTCATAATACAAATTTTTTTTTTTAACTTAAGCAAGGTGACTAGGGCCATTAACTGTTATAGGGGTTATAAACTGTGGAAGGGGTAAAGTTGGTACGTAGGTTGATTTTTACGATTGTTACGGTTGATAGCAAACACGTGTATGTGTGGCAAGGTTTTTAACCACTATGATCCCGGGTGGTCACCCATCCGGGAGTTAGTAGCTATAATATGGCCGTTACTTCCTGTCGCATTCCGTGACTGGTAGCAGCCAACGCGCCACGCCAAGCCACATAATACAATTTTATTTTTAGAAAAGTAAACAATTATTATCACTCACTATCGAATCATTATAATTATTTTAAAATTATTTGCATCAATTTTTTCCTAGCTACTAAATTTTAATACACAAGATTGATTATTTTTAATTTTTTTTTTTTATAGACACTCAGCTAAACACATTAAATTATTATTTTTTTTTCATATTTTTATATCATAAAATTATATTATGGTTATATTTACAGTACATATTTTAATATTTGTATAGGTTCTTATAGACAATGTAGCTTTTGAACTCATTATCTTACAAAAATATTAATTTTTATATTCAACTTTCAAAATCAATTTTTTTATTCAATTTATTCTAATTACAGTGTCTATCTTACATTTTTTATCGATTTATAGTACGTAATAAACAAAGACATTTAAGTAAAAAATATATAAACCATCTAAAGTGTATTCAAATTATTTTGCATAACATTAAGCAATATTGTAAAATAAAAACTATGCTTTTTTCAATCAATTTTAAAACATGCTAATACAAAATTATATATTATGAATTTCTCGAGCTCATCGGTTATTAAGTATTTATAATATCTTAATTATTAAAAACAGATGATTATAAATTATATTTATTTTTATCTTATATATACTGTAGATTTACATTGTACAAAATTGGTTTTGTATAATTTAAAATTCGGTTAAAATTTATTGAAAACAAATTTTTTACTTAATAGCATTTGTGGCAATAAATGTATTCTATGCGTGTATTACTAATATATTATGGTTGTATTTGCAATATTATGTACTTGTTTATTGAATGTTATCATAATTGTGTATATGTACTATAATAACGTAATTGATGAAAAATTAATATTTAATAATTTAAGTTACTTGTAAGCTATTGCATGATGATAATTTATTTTCACAACAAAATAAAATATAAATAAATAATTAATAATACAAAATTTAAATGTCTAGAATACAGTTGACAATATCTTGTTAATATAAGATATATAATCATAGCCCAAAGGTACTTATATTAGAAAAAGAAATATATAATGAATAAATTGTGGTAAGTTATTTTGTATAAGCTAGATCTATAAATAAATACATAGTTGCATAATAATTTATATTTTGTTTTAGATTTAAAAAATAATTCAAAATTATTAGAATTTTCTATAAATTAAAAAAGTATCTATATAATTGAGATATAGCTACATACGATTATAATATATTTAATAAAATATAATATTAGACGTAAAATAGTTTTAATATTATTCTATATCCGTATGCATACTTTTTTACTACCTACCTACTATAAATAACTGATATCTTACAGTATTTGTTTTACAATAAAGAATACATCAAATATAAATTAGCATTTATACAATTCAATTAAAAAAAAATTATATAATAATAATTATATTTGTTTATAATATTATTCACTATACCTACAATTGTCTTGGAATTATAAAAGGATTGTTTCCATACTCATTCGGTCTTCTGTTGAATAATGGTTCATTTGGATAACTATTTCCAACTAATTCTTTCCGATCAATATATTCCTAAAAATTGTATTTATAATTAAAACTAAATTTAAGTTGTAATAAATTAAAATATTAACTTAGAAACATTTTTTTACAATATATTCTAATTAAAATATTAAATTTCTTAAAAAATAGGGTTATATTTTCATATTTATATTGTTTAGTGTCTAAAGTTAGATTATATCGTTTAATAAATTAAATTGCATAGATGTTATAAAAAAATATTTTTTTTGAACTTAAGTAGGGGCTAGTTAAAGTTTAAGTATATTTTTAAATACTAACACAGGTTATTATTTTATGAAGTCTCGAATATAACATTCAACATGTTTACCTTACTATTTAAATATTGAAATATAGTAAATCATATTTTATTTTAAAATTATATATTTGGAGTTTTATGTGTTTTAATTTAAAATGATATTAGAATACTGATTGAATAAATAGTAGTCTTACTATATCTGGAAATCAAACCATCGATTCAACAACTTAAAATATTAGATTTTTCCTCAAGTTTGTTTTTAGCACTACTAATGATTTAAAAATATATAGAAAACAAATCATTCTATAGTTTTGTAATATTGCTCATATACATTTTTTTTATAAATTTTATAATTATTATTATTAATGGCTATAAGCAAATTGATGTTAATTCATTTTTTTTTTTTAAATTATTTATATTATGCAATAGCCTTAAACTAATATTAATGTGTGTATATCATGCACTTACAGTTTGTAGGTCTTACATTTTTGTTGGAAACTTGTCCATATATACCAGGTTTCAAACCAGGTCTATGACTTCCACCTGGGCCAACTAACACGGAAGGTATGGGCTCGCTACGATCTCCTCCATATTTGTCCACTTCTTGGCTTCCTGAATTTGTGCCATCAAAATCGTTATAACAACAGTATTGTTTTCCTTCATCGCAACTTCCCTAAAATACATATATTAATTAATATTTTGATGAAATATTTCCAGATAACTAATAATCTTGATTATTTATTTTCTCGTATTTTAATTATAACTAAATATTTTTATTTTTTTTTAATGAAAAATTGTATTAAAATTGTTTTGTAAGTTATTAGTCCGTTAGAAAAAGACATACAAAGATTTGTTCGTATTTATTTAAAAATGACAAAAGGAGTTTGCTCTATCCGATTAATATAGTATGATGAGCTGCATGCGTAGCCACCGCTGCAAGATGTCTGCCACAAAAACGCATGCTAGATAATGAAATCGTTCGAATCTTATAGGACAGAGAAAAATCTTAGATAATCACGACTTTATTATGGTGTTTAGAGTCTTCATTCCACATATTATATATTATACTATATAAATCTTACTAACATGCGGTTTATTGTAAAAACAAATTTTTAACAAGATAATATTTTATTGAGATAAGATGCCTTATTTTGTTTGACGATCCTTTAATTGGACTGGTGAATATAAAATGTTAAATGGTGGTAAAACCAGAAAATATAATAAAACGATTACTTTCAAAGAGATGAATGATAAATATTAAACAGTGAATGTATTTATTAAAGTCTTTTTTTTTTTTTAAATTTTTAAGAGTATTATTTCAATTAAACTTTAATTTTAATCACGCAATGAGGTAAATGTATTAGGGATAAGTGATAAAAGAGAACGGAGTTTGCTATGAGATTACTGTTGGGTTATATACTGTTCATTAAAAACCGAGTAGGTATTATGTAATTAAAAATAGTAATATTTCGAATTTTAATTATACGGTAATAAATATAAATTACAAAATGCTCGTCGTTTTCTTTTATATATATATATTTAATGTTGGCCCATGTTATTTTATACATTTTCCTGAAATCGGAAAAGTAGAGAGTATAATTAAGCGAAGTTAGTTTACTTGTAATATTGTTTTACTAAAGAAAAAAATGATAAATTTAATATCATAAAAAAGAATATCAAAATATGCTCTGATAAATACTATATGTTAATTATTTTAATATTGCTTATTTGATTACCTATAATTGAACCAATTTTTATTAAAATCACCGGAAAGTAAAAATCAAATTATGTTCCATCAAAATACATTTAGTTTCATATTTAAAATTTTATTCAAAAATTTCATTATCAATGTATACCTAATTGGATTTTCCATTTACTAAATTTAATTTATTGTAGTTATGATTTTTTGAAATAAATAATAGTATGATACTAGTCAAATTATTTGTGATTTTTATACCCATACAGAGAACAGGTTTAATTATTAGTTTTAGTTTTATCAAGAAAAAGAACGGTATGATATTTACTGCATGCTAGACAACTGTCTTAGTATTTTTTTTGGTTTTTAATTTATGGATAGGTACTTCAATACTTTATCGACTATAATTTAATTTAATACTTAAGAATCAATCAAATTAAATTAAATACTTGAGTGCTTTTTACCTAGATAATTCGGTAGTTATAAATAAATTCGAAAAGTGCTTAGTGCCAGTTGGATAAGTATTAATTTTTATTCACACGTACATTTCGACGATAATGTATAATAATATAGTAATAATATAATGTACTTACAAACTTGATCCCAGGAGATTTACAATTGAAAGAGAACGAGCATTTGCACTTTTCGAAATTTGTGGGATCGCCGTTTTTGTGGACTGTCGGTCGTTGCCATGAAGGCACTGGTCCAGTGAGTATGCCGACTGCAGACCCGGCCGGTTCGGTAGCTACGGGCACGGGTTTTCTGGATGGTGCGTGCACGGAATCGATGATTACTGGCGGCCGCTGTGGTCGCAAAGGCGCTTGGAAGTTTGACAAAGGTCTTTGTGGTAGGGTATTTGACGGCAATGGTCTGTCGAAGGGCCTGCTACTAAAGGTCTCAGATATATGGATAGGTTGTTGGATCAAAGGATCCCTATCCGGTACATAATCCTCGTTGACTTCATAGCGCCCATTTCGTATTGAGTCGTCCCTGTATATATATTTAACCATTTGAATTAATGCCGGTTTTACAAGCGAGATGTAAAAAATAATTAGTTTTAAACTTAAACGTAATATCTTGCTGTATTTATTCCAGAATATCACCTCTATCCGTCCATCATATTACATTTAATTATTACTTGTGCAGTTATTTTATTGACATCAGGACTATTGATGTAAAACCCAACATTAATGATATTTTTAATGAATTTTTTAATAATTCACGCCCATAATTTTCACGCGAGAACAATCATGACGCAATCTTGTACAATATTTTAGTAGTTGTATTTAAATTACTCTTTAATCAGAATATTGTTATTATTCATTTATTCGTATTTAAAATATTATTTTAAAAATTAAAAAAATTTAAAGAATTTTTTTATTGATGGCTAAATAGAAATATTGTAAGTCATTTCATGTTATAATTAGTTGATATAGTATAATATCAAATTTGTAAGTAAGTGAGTGAATACATTTTAGTATATTCTAACATTGGTAGACTGATGTTAAATTATTTAATTAACTAGAGATAATGTAATAATTATTTTCAATTTTGGATCGATGTATTAAAAACAAAGTTTTACAATGAATTTTCAGTGAAAATAAAGTAGCAAGTACCCGACTTCGTATTTACATATTTTTTTTGTAAATACTTTATTGTTTTTCAAATACATTCCGAATGAATTTCAAATATTTTTTGCTTTTTAGATTTAATGTATCTGTATTTTAATTTAAAATTTAAATATCAATAAAAATTAAAAGTATCTTTTTACAAGATTTCTACGATATATATTTTATTATTCGATTTTAACTTTTCATCCTTGTTCTAAATGTTATCTTTTAGACAGTATTGTTATCTTTGTAATCTATTTTCATTTTTAATAAAATGTATGAAAAAGTAAATGAAAAAAGATATTTTTCATTCTGAAAGCGATGTTCAAACTTGTTTGTGTGTGTATTTATAATTAAATTTTTTTTTCAAAGGAAAAAAGTCTTATTGCTTACTTGTAATATTTGGTATCCAGCCTTGGGTTGTTGGCGGGTTGGAATAATGGACTGGGCTTTTGGTTTGGTTGATTGCGCAATAACGGTTTAGCTATTCGGATCACCTCGTCGGACGAAGACCCGATTCTCGAGTCAGCCTTTGATTGCTCGTTTGATCTGCCCCATACCCATTTATCGTCGTCGGCTAAAGTGACGCCGGTTGACGCCACAAACACTAATAATACCGCAAAAAGCGGCCTGTTATAAATTTCTAAAACAAAACGTAATTATGCATACAATTCCATGAATAATTGTATCTAATATTTAATAGTTTGTCTTATGTCTATGTTTTATGTTCATAAATAAATAATTTATTGAATTATATTTACATTTTACTCTTTTAAGGATTGTTTGATATTTGAACTCGATTATTTAAAATAACTAATATTGGTATCTACCGTGTTAAATATATTGTTAGTAAATTATTTAGTCGGAAATTCGTTTTCCAGCACATATTTTAGTTCAGAGTTTAAATTGTTTCGTAATAATATTAGGTAAGGAGACTCATAACTCTTTAGTTATTCAAATACTTAAGATATTCGTGTGATTTTTTTGTTCAGTGAATCGTTAGTAAATTGTAAAGCAAAAGTTTGAGTTAATAATGATCAAAGGAACATAATATATATATATTATATAATATTTCAGCTGTTTACATTTATTTGATACAAAAATAAATCAATATAATTTTATTATAATGGAACATTATATGCACAAAGTGATTGATTAAATATGCTCATCACTATTTTTTTTTTTTTAATTATGCGAACATTCAAAATTTGGTTTATAGAATTCTTGAACATAACTTAAGATTATATTTTCTAATTCTACAGATTTTTTCGAACTATTTTAGGAATTTTTTGTGGAGAAACCAAAAATCTGTTTTTTAAATGACAAATTCCCTTTATCTTCTATATATTGTTTAGCGAATAATATTTCAAAATGTTGATGTATATAATTCAAAATTTTAATTAGTAGTTTTTGAGTTATTTAACTTTATATATCAAGGATAATAAAACCACAATAATTGGCCTGAAGTATGTGGGGGTTACGGTGATTTGAAAATATTAGAAATTAACTTTAATCTATCAACATTTACAGTTATTAATCTTTATCCAATATTAGTGTATGCATTCTTTTTTATGTTTATGAGAGTATTTTTAAGGACGTTATATTAGTTTAAAAATTATAATAATTACTCGTAAGTATTATGAATTAGACATAAACACATTTTTAGTAAAATTATTCGTTAATTAATTTATAAAATAAAAGAGAGTTTTTATTTCAAAAATAGAAATTTAATTTAAATCATTTTTAAGAAAAAATTGGAAGTGAGCATGCTTGGTGAATTACCTTGTAAATCAATTGTTTATTTATTTGTTTTTTAATTATACTGTATGAAAATGAATATTTTTTATAATGTACTCGTTAATTTGTTACATTTCTAATGAAATAATGATAAAAAAAAAAAAAAAAATAATAATTAATAGATACTCCTATTGAAAATATATTTGTACCTTAACCCAAAACATTATATATTCTGACGTATTAAAAAAATTTTGATTTTTATTTTATGATGAAATATCATTTTTTTTTCTGATATAGACGTATTAAAAATATTGCATTATATTGTTTCAAACAATATATAACTGACATTAATCATAAAAAAATATTTAATAACGTTTTGTTTTTAATTTTGCTTTTATTATCTTGTTGTTTAATATATAAATTATTTACCTAATTCAACGAGGTGTTACTGTTATTTAATAATTTTTTTTTCAATTATAGCCAAATCAATTATTTACTTCAAATATTTTGATTGTTATTGCTCAAAATTGAAATAAATTTTCTTTCATCAAATATTATTGAATTTATAGTTATATATTTTTCACTTATTACGTGATAAATAACCATTGAAGTGCATAAATTAAACTGAATTGTCTAGTTTAAATATATAACATTTATGTGTATTATATTAACAAACAAAATTGTTTGTAATATCTCATAGAGTCTCGTAAGACTACTAGAGTATATTTAAAATGTATCAATATTTAAGTTATATTAATTAAACATACAATCTAATAATTTAATTATAAATTAATTCATATTAAATATTGTATTTATATCAGTAATTTATATTAATTTAAAAAGTTATTAGATAATATATTCCTTTTAAATTTACTTTTTAATCTTCATTCTTAGCTTTGTTTGTTATTTTCGATTTGAATGATTATTTAATTGGAAAATTATAAAGTACGAGTATATTAACATTTATAGTGTCTTGCGAAACTCGTAATCTTATTGCTTACATTAACAAGAGAAATATTACCTCAATTAGAACTATTGGAATTCTACTCTGTAGATTTTGAAATATGAATAAATATAAAAAGTAATTCCATTTTATTACTTTGAATGAATTGTCATTTATTTGAGCCTATTTTTGAAGGAAAACTACTGATTTACATTTATAACGACCGTAACAACCTACTTTTAGTGTTTTTCTAACATTATGATCGTCTGTTTATTATTATAAAAATTAATTCATCTATGATTTTATTGGTACACAACGATGCTTCATTATTATTTTTTATGGACATCTGTATGTATTCTGCTAATTTCTTGATTTGAAACTAACAATTTACTATCATCAAAAATCAAATTTAATTTAAAATGTATGCGCATTAAATTGTGTTTTTTTCTGCTATTTTAATTAAATATACTTTTTCTGATTGTGTGAAACGAATTAATTTGAATAATTCGTGTATGGAATAAACATTATTATGATAATCTATTCTCGAATGCAATCTGTATTAGATGACTTGGCTTATTAAAGATAATTAAACTGTACTTCGACAAAATAAAATAATATTTTGAATTATATATTTTTTATTCCAATACATTATATTTAGTGTTCGATTAAAGTCCGAGTTCATCCGAATCGTATAGTCTATGGTTAAATATAACGTATTTATCATAGTATTCGGACATTCGCTATCATTTGCTATTGTTTTTGTGATGGCCAATGAGTTTTCCCACGTTTACCTTGACACCGAATCGCCACAATATTATTACATTGCCCATTAGGATTATTAGGATCGTTGATTTCATATTTCCGTTTCACCCATCATATCGCGAACCAGTAATTCTTAATGCTCCCACGCATCCAAAATGTAACGCGTATGTTTTGATACAAACAAGGTCGCGAGACCTTGTCAATTCGATCTATTGTCCTCGCCGGTAAACATACGTAGGTATGCGATATCCACCGTTTAAGACAACCGGCGATCGTTATATTATCATGTTAGTTATCTGTATATTATTATGTTGATAATTTGCAGAGTTTTATTGAATTCAGTAATATATTAAGTTATTTAACTCGGTACATGAATATATATCATACACGTAGTGCCTGACAAAGAAGAGCGCGTTTAAAAATTAAATTTAATATGATACATGCTTTATTTTATGAACGAATGCTACAGTATCAACAGACTGCACAGAATAGGTATTCAAATTTTTAATTTAAACTTAGTTTGTACAGTTTTGATGTAAATAATAATATCAAACAACGATTTAGTAAATAAAATCTTAAGTCTAAGCGTCATTTTAAGTTTTGAACGTAACATATTATGAGCAAAGTATTCATCAGCGTGTATCGGGTGTTTTTAAATTATAATTTGTTTTATAGTTCACTATCTTGTGGTTATATAACACAAAATAAGATTTGTTAAGCTATTAATTTTAATTTATCATTAGTATGATTTATTTTTCTAACCATATTTCTGGATTTACTCTAAATTTACTTTTGTAGTTTGAAAATTGAAACTACCTATCTGTATAATTTTTCTAATATTCTTATTGTTTAACATATGCAAATTATGTAATAATGAATAACAGTAATTATTTTATTGGGAAAGACGATGGAAACAAAGATTTTATAATAGATAATTTAAGAGAAAAGTGATTAAAATATAATTAAAAAGTGTTTGCATTACAATAAAATAAAAACATTGTTCACAGAAACATTTTTTATTTTATTTATTTTTTCTAATGAGAAACAAAAATATACCATAAAAAATTAACCATCAAAGTATAAGGGTTAATCATAATATAGAAACGACCTTTCCGGGTATGATAATAAAGTACATTTTCATCATGATTATTTTTTTTGCTATATTTAACTACATTATTTAGGATAATGGTAGAAAAATGGTAATCAGTGCACTAAAGAACATATTATGTACAAACATAATCCTATGTACAATAAACAGTCATTAAATATATAAATGCCTTGTTCATATATATCTATCTATATCTATATATTTGAATGTGAAAATGGAAATCTTTGTCTTGCATGTTTTTTTGAAACTACTCATCCGATTATCTTGGTTTTTTTTAACGAAAGAGTACATTGTGAAGCAAATTTCAAGCCTATTTTTGATTCTATAAGTTAATAAAAAAATGAAGCTTATAATTTTTAAATAATTGGAGAACACGGGTAAAAAAATATATTTTTATTTATCTATGTTACCAATTATTAGTTTATTATTAGAAATTAGTATCTTAGTGTTTAGTTGATGTTGTATATATAACAGTACGAAACGTTTTCGTTGTTTCTGATTCACCTTATTGGAAATTTATAAGTTATTGTTTTTGGTTAAGAATCACAAGGAAATTAAATTTGGGTCAAAAAAAAAAAAAAAATAAAAAAATAAAAAAAATAAAATGCTGCTATTAAACGGTTAAAAAAAATATATCGTTGAGCGAGAGCTATAGTTGATATGTTGAAAATATCATGAATACACAAAAAAAAAAAAAAAAACAAAAGTTTTATTTAGGTATCCATATGTGTTACGCTAAATGTTAGCATTAAGGGACCAAATTTAACATGGTGCATTTTGTATGAGTGACATGAGCAATGAAGTGCTCGGGGATAACTAGTAGAATATTATGATGTTTCACAAAAAAAAAAAAAAAATAAAATAAAATATTTAAAAAAAGATGTCATTCAATATCTTATTTTATATGGACCATTATATTATGCATTTTATCGGTTGGTTTTCAATAAATATAAGCAGTTTATTTTGCTTATTGTGGTATTTATTATAATGCTTTGTTTAATAAATGTTCATTTTTAATTTAATACCTATAAATTATATATTATAATAACCTGAAATTTAAAGAGTTATTAATATTTTTTAAATGTTTCTAGGAACTTCAAATGATTATTAAATTGATATAGTAGAATTAATATACAAAATGGTATATAATTCAAGGAAAAGTAAACCCTTCGAAATGTCCTATGTAAATAGGCTAGGTAAATAAGTAAATTTTATTAGTTTTTTGATTATGTATTTAAATTTTATTCTTTATTTTTATGAATATTATAAACTGAAATGTTAGGTACTAGAATATTATTCAAAGTCTACGTCATGCGAATTTCAGGTGAATATAATATAAGTTTTATACTAACGTTAATGGAAATTGGGATGGCGTTTACATAAGTGAGCTTTGTAGGCAACACCATTATAAATTCTTAACAGAATTTGAATTTGTTTTCATAAAATATTATATTATATAGTTATTATTTTTTAAATGGTTATTGTTGTTTTTCTGTATAACTACTGACTATTTAATTATCGAACGAAACATAGATCGCAGGCGTATAGGTATGAAAGGAAGTTAAGCTTATTTATGAGTTGAGAGAGAGAGAGAGAATTAAAGACAGTATAATATTTTTTCGATTCATTGATAATTTTTTAAATAATAGTTGTATGGTATTTCTATAGTTACCACTTCTGTATTTATTACTAGATTTAAAAGAAATACTAAGTTTTAATCCCAAATACTCGTTACAATTTACTCGTATTTTCGAAAGAAATTGTTCATAGTAAATTACGTATATATCCACTGTAATATTATTACAGCTATTGAAATAATTTTTCTACTTGTTACTGGCATTAAAACTTAATTTTAATCAACCACACGGATAACCTATAATGATGTAGTCAGAACGTGTCTTAAATTGATAGTTTTTCGCCGGAAACTTTATAAAACTTTTCATATATATAGAACCGACGAAATGAAACGAATGCGTGCGAGTCGAATTGTAAAAGTCATGCATATAATATAATGTTATATTATTGAAAAATAGATAAAATTTTTACTCATGACATTTTTGTTACTTACTCGTCATTTGACAGTTTTTGTCTTCGGCGTGGCAGTCCGTTTAATGAGCGATATCGGTATACACGGTTTGACTTACATAAGATTAGTGAGCTCAGTTGGATATGGATATTTTAGACGTCGCCGTCATCGTGGAAAAGAGAGCGTTAAAATGTTCTCTTGTCAAATAGAAGGGGACGAATATATAACCGGCAAAAAGTCACGTGGGAATATTGCTATTGTTATTGTTCTTCGGTGGTGGAAACTTGAACGCGTTTGAAAAATTATTATCACGTTTGTCAGTGCAACCCACTATTATGATATTGGTAGCAGATGCCCTCTTACCTTCAAAATTCACGCCCAAAGGACGACTATAATAAAAATACACTCATTGACATTGAAACATTTTAACTACGGTCAAAAATGTGTTTCACTGTAGTGAGTACTGATGGTACTTCACAAAAATGCATAATATAATATATAGCGCATAGGATTAAACGAGATTCAATTATTTTTTTCAAAAATTGCCGGTGCACTAATGTAGCCGTAAATTTAAAATCTGAACTCAACGCTCATAACTTTTAAGTACTAATAATAATATTATTATTATTATTTGCAATTCAATTTTTTCTTAAACATTTTTCCAACTAACAATAGAACTTAATTTCTTTCTATTTTGTATTGGAATATTGATTATTATGTATATATATGTATATATTTATATAATACCTTTGAAAATAATAATACTTATTAGTTGATAGAAATAAAAATGATAAAAGATTTTTTTATTTTAAAAAATAGGTAAAAAAATTAACCAAGGCACTTACATTTCGATCTAGTGTTTCCAAAATTGTATTCATTGTTCATATTGTAATACACATAATTTAGTTCCTACTGCCTATATATAAATCTATACAGTATTCTGTCATATATAAAAATAGAAAAATTAAAATAAATCTATTAAGTATAAATAACATAAGCGTTATTCAATTAAACTTTTAGGTTTGTAATGTTACGTAGTTTTAAATTTTAATTGCGTACCTTACTTAAGTAACGTGCCAAAAAGATCATATACATCCACGTATATTATATTTTATTAAATAAGTAAAATGGTCTTTAAAAATTAATACAGCCTAGACATAATAATAATATAATAATGATACGATATTATTTCAACGTTTTTGTAAGTGTTAAAGTGTTATATAATAATGTATATGTCACGCATGTACACATCGTAGACGAATGAACTGGAACGTTTTCGGGATAAAATTAATGTAAAACGCATTATTCTAATGTTTACACGTAACCTACAGTCATATTAAAATGTTTTTATCCTTAGTTATATACAATGCAGTGTTCATGATACGCGTACACGATGCGTTGTGACATGCGCGACGTTCAGACATGACGACCGAAACGAACGGAATAATAATTATACGAAAAGCGAAAAATTAATTAAACGATCGCGTTACACGCGTACATTACTGAAGTTTTAGTATAATGCCGTCGAGTGATGATTTCCGGAGTCATCCATCTGAGTATAAACAGGACTTTTGCAGTCACCTTGGGTGTCAAGGATAATAACAATAATATTCAGAGGCGCAAATTCAACGAAAACTCCGGTAGGGTAGGTAGTTTCAGTAGGTTGGTTAAAAAAAAACAATAATAATAAATATTTATTCGTATCACTTACTTAATGTTATAAAATAAGTTAAAAATATTTTAAATAATTATAACATTAATTGTTATTATAAATTGAAAAAAAATAATATATTTACAATAATAATATCATTCTGTTAATTTGTTCAATTTATTATATTTTTTTCTTAAAAAAAAGCTATCTCTAACAAAATAATATATTCATTAACGTTTGTATATTAAATTATATTGCAATAATAATTATTGCACATTTGTATAATTATTATATACCATTTTTAAACAAATTATCATGACAAAAGGGTATGTTACTTATGAACATAAAATATACAACTTGTTAGTATCACAACCAATTATGCATATGACTAGTAATCATTGTGACCAAAAGCATACGATTTATAAATACTACAACTAATAATTGGCAAAATAATAATTGACTTATAATCAATAGTTAGAGGTGTTGAAGACTGCCTATTTTTTAGTTAATTTTATAATAATGGATTAAACGTTGAACTATTTCAAAAGTCCCTTTCCCATACTCCCAATACACTGAATCATCATATTTGAATATTATAAAGATATAAAAATAGTTTTGTACTGGACACATATTATGTATTTATCGATAAAAAAAAATAAATAAAAAATAAATTATATAAAATATAGCAATATTAAGTTGAACTTTGAGTGGAAACTTTCAAAAGCGTTTGTATAGTAAGACTTCCATCAGAATTAGCACTAATACCAAGAAGGAAAGGAAGGTACCATTATCCTCTATGGAATCAATTAATAAATAATCACAAAATTTGTTTGTTTTGCTTTACACTTAACGGTATAAAGTTTGGATCAAATGGATACGGCGCGGCGTTCTCATATTTGTGCTGTCTTAAAGATGGTATTTATTGTTTGGTGCATTAATTAATATCTCAGAAAAAATTTGATGATTTTTCTTCAATGCTGTCTACTGCTTTTCATTTATAAGAATTATTATTTGTTAGAAGAGAGCAATTTTTTTTTTTTTTGTACGGTTATATATAAAACACGTTTTTTTATTTTGAATTAATATTTTATTATCGATGTAAAATTTAGTACGGATATGAACTGCATGCAACATATTTGTTATATTGGCATGTTACTCGTAAAATCCATAGTTATTGAATAAGATAAAATAATTTTCCCCTTTTCACTAAAAAAAAAAAATTAATTATGTCCGTTTTTCATAAATTTTAATTTAATTTTAAGAACTTTTAATATTTGTTATAGATGTTAAATTTTTTAATAACCAACAAGTATTGATTCGACAAAATTGATTGCTCATACTATTTCGTTTCATAGTGCATAAATAAAGATAACTAATAAGTTTAACTAACAATAGTAATAATTAATGCATTTGAGTATTTGACTACATCTCTGTGTAACCGTATTGGAGAGTACATATATTATATATTGATGTATTTTGTTTTTGTAGATACTACGCTTATATGAAGTCAGAATTCGTTATATTTTTTTTTCGTTTGGAAATGACGAGGGTGATAGTTTAAGAACTGAGTATGCTATCTGTGATCAATATATCTAAGCCTCCTCATGAATTTAATTTACGAGAATAGTACACGTAATTATAACAATGTCATTGGTACACATCGTTTTATTCGTTGTTTATGTACAATTAATTCCGGTGTGCGTCTCTCTGCCCGTTCGAACGCCCCAGCTGCAGCTGCAATGGGAATCTGTTGCAGTCATGCATCATGTATGCTTACTATTGCAATAGGCCGGGATAACAGTCATCACGTGTACAACAGCCGTGTGTTGTATAACTGTATGCTATGTATACAATCAAACTTGGATACGGCTAACCGTTGTCAAATTCGCGTATAATGATGACAGACTTTAGTCACTGCTGATAATGTTGATTCTGTTCCACGGTGCAGTGTCTTTTAATGTTTCAAACGTCAATTGATCCACGCGTTTGATGCTTTTTACTGATTTGATAAACACGCACACATCGCAGCGTTCAAATGAATTATACCCACGGACTAAAATAGCGTTTAATCCTTCACTGTCAACAGCACAAATCGTTGCAATCGACCACATCATTTTCATACGATTCGTCACTAGACAGTATTATTAGTAATATAATATTATACCACAGGGCATGTATACATATACGGAAAACAAATTTTCAGACGTTTTCTGCGAAACGTGTTTTTTGTATTTTATACTCGTATACTATATACGCGCCAATAATCCGCTGAAACAATCGCGTTCACGGTTCGAAATGTGTGTAATGAATACATTAACCCTACTGCATGGAACAAATCGACATTCACGTGTGTGTTGCACTGTGTTGTTATTATATTATTACGATTCTAAAACCAGGAGTTGTTTGATAATATCACATTTTTTAATATTCATGTTTCGAAATCGAATAAACACTTACTACGTAAGTATGTTAAATCACGTTACGAGAAGATTTTTAGATTAGCACTTTTACTTTCATCGTTGTACAGTGTAAAAATTGTATTCAGTGAAACAATATATTGCAATATCAATCTGTAGAAATTTTATAGTGATGGATTTTTAACATCTAAAATTTCATAATTTTTTTTTTGCACTGTATACGTCTTGTTAGTTGTTACGTATAATATTATGCAGGTAACACGGGCATCTCCGCTTATCAATATAATAATAATAATAATAATAATAATGATATTCCTACATAGAATATTCCCCAAAACAATGAAAAATTAACTAAAATTAGTTCAGTAAATGTTAAAATTATTAAGTAAATATAAGTTAAATATTAACAAATAGTACTCTTATTTTTTATTTTTATTGTTAAAATATTTACAATACCTGTATGCAAGCAGCACGTGATAAGTACATTAGAGAATAAATAAATAATTAAACAATTAAAAGAGGCAAATGTATACTTAAAATGTCTATTTGGTTTTTAATTTATGTATATTTGTTTTGTTGTGATGAATAGATTTTTTTAATTAACATGATGTTAATTTTTTATCGTATAATAAATATTGAAGTTTTTTATTGTTTCAAATAATCCAATTACGTTGAATAATAATAATGATAAAGAATAAATGACATTTTGGTTAGTTGGCATTTTTAAAAATTAATTTATCAATGACAGTTGACAGAAGCTGAACGATAAGGGTTTAAAATTCGTTTAAGAAAGAAGTTAATTAGATAGTTAAATTTTAATTTTTAAGTATAATAATTGTATTCGTTGATTGTTAGGTGTTTGATTTAGTAGATTATGAATAAGTTTGATTGAAATATTACTTTTAAACTTTAGAAGTTTTCAAAAATATCAATTTATTAAATTTTAAATGTTTTAAATTAAATACAGAGAAAAATATCAACTTATCTATTTTGTTATAAATGTATCTTACTATTTCTTTTTATTATTGTATAACACACATTACTCATATAGTGGTTAAGGAAATTATTTAATGTTTGTGTATCCACCATACATCTACATTATAAAATTATGAAATATTTATTTGTTTAAAT